GAGCTTATAGGGGCAGGCAACACCTTCAGTTAATAAGGCTCATCATCATCGTTGTCTTTGCTGGAAGTCGACAAAGCATTATGACAACCTACCGTACCTGTGACTACTGTTAACTCACTCAAAGCTCCATTTTCAAGCAGAGCCTAACTTAACATGGCACAATACAACCACAAGCACATAACAGGCAAGAACCAGGTAAGGGGGCTAGGATAACAGAGAGAGCAAGGCCGAGTGTTGATAGCGGTGATGACGATGAAGATAATAAGGGCAGTGATGGTGATGACAATAAGGATGATGGTGATGACAAATGAGGATGATGGTGATGAGGGTGAATTGGCAAAAATGAGAATGATAGCAGAGCGGTGATGAAAGCACTGGTGGGCAGGTAAATATTAAGTCATCATAAAAGGATAGCGACCAATAGACCCTTATAATGACATTTTTCATCTGCCAGTGTAAATGGAATAAAACTATCACATGAAAAATAAAAGTTTGTGGAGAAAAACAGGAAGGGTTACTCAAATACACCCATACATCTTCACTTAATAGGAACAGTCCCAGCCAACAAACGTCTGGGTTATGACACTTCAATGTTACGAACAAGTCTCCCAGAAACTAACCGGCGGTATACAGATGCTCCCTCGGATTTACAAACATCAGAGGGATATGATAGAGTTTTGAAATGAGACAGTCCGTCGATAAACATATGTTCGCCCTCACAAACACGAGGGAAGGACAAGATGAGTGTACTGTGCTGTATAGAACATTTAAGTTACACAAGAAGAGTGGACAGAGTTTGAAATATGAAAGATGGAGAAAAGAAACACAGAGAAGGATAATCTAGAAAAAGAAAGATGGTGGTGTGAGCATATGGATGAAAACTGGACTATCAGAAATGAAGATGAATCCTGAAATTCCACAATCTAACGTTGTACTGTGTCAACAAATCTACTCATGGACACCCAAGATTTTCCAGAGCCCCTGACTTGTGTGACTGGGAATATATTCCAGAAATCCATAAAATTACAGAAATTTGATCTCTCCCAATTAACCAGAGCCCCTAGAGAGGAACTGTTTATAATCCTCATTGCCACACCACCCTGCATGAGCTCCACAACCCAGTGTTGTGGTTACAATCTGCTTATAAGTTCCAACAATTTAAATCCATCTCGCCTCAGCACCCTAAAAGTGGACAAAGGGACGTAAATAACCTGAAATATGCAGAACTGTAATTGGTCGTAAAAGGGATTTCAGGATCAATTATTATTTATAACTTACACAGTTAATTGGGTAACTCGAGTACTGTACAGCTAAAACACAAGGAGAATCAATCAAGTTAACAAGTTTCACGAGTTGCCACTGATCACACCCATTACCACAGGAACCAGGTTAAAACAATAATTAACCTTACAGGCTCCAATATGTCGAGAGTTGAACACTTTCAATAATGCACAAATTCCTATCCAAAGAATGGATTTACCCTGAAGGAAGGCCAAGGAAGCCACAATTCCCCTAAGGTCATGCACATAGGGGATGTAACTTGGCTGAGCTTCAAGGCCTTCAATAAGAGCCTGGTACAATAAGCCCAAGAGGCTCCACACTTACACACTTTGTTAAGAATCAAGGATTGTTGATTAAACTTAATTGTGAACTGTATGTAAGTCTGTACTGTTCTGACTGGATTGAGAGAATAATGAGATCCACCATCCAGTTTTTATGACTGAAAGTGGTTCTATTCAGGCCTGACAGAAGTCCGGTTCTTTGACAAAATCTTGAAACTGGTTGAGTCTGACCCATGAAAGTAAAGGATTGACAGAAAGTTCCTTGTTATTTCTGCTCAGAGCATGAAGTTGTGTCACCCTTCTCCCAAATTCCAAGGCCAGGAGGAACACTGCCTGTAGTGTAGCATATTATGGTGTCTCCACGACAGAGGTCTCCATCCCATCTAACAATTCTAGAATAAGCTCAAGGTACCACAGATTGAGAAGGATACTAAAGACAAATGATCAACAAAGGTGAGTTATAAGTTGTAGTGAAAGAGCACAATGCTGAGTCCCATCCTCAGCCAGTCAACACTTTAATGACAAGGACTGCAAGGCAACCAGTCTACACCCTGATATAAGTATCCCAAAACATGTACATTATAAAGAAGCATTTAGCCACCCAAAATTATGAAGCCAGCAGGAAGATGTCCATTTGGGTGGACTAGGTGTTACCCCAGTTTGTACATATGAAAATGGCTAATGGTATACATGTGCAGCTCTTGGCCTGACTGGCTAATGCCTCCTTAAGCACAGTACAGTACTTTCATGCTAGGGTTGTGATTGAGTTGGAAAATCACTGTACAGTATTTGTATCTTTCTGCATTTCTTAATAATAATTATAATAACACGAGTGAGGCATCCTGGGGCGCCACTTGTTGACACAGTACAAGAGTTACCCAGTCCATTACCTAAGTTATAAAAGGATTCATGAATGAGGAAAATAGAAGGAAAAGAATACAGTACTTAAAACATGATGGAAGGACTATGTGTGGGAGTGAGTGTGGACAGGCATACAGTCTGAGAGGTTATCATTAAAGTGACGGTAGAGTACAGTAGAATCCCAGTTATCCAGGCAACCGTTACATTCAACTAACCGGCACCAAAATGAAATAATAATAATAAAAATAAAAATTCCTCCAGAATCAGCTAGATTTTTAAGTTTGAATATCGCCCGCAACAGGGATGTGCTACCTTATTTTTTGCTATGATAAATAATAAAATTGATACATAGCATATCATAATATCCAAAAACACATATTTAAAAAAAAAAATAGCTCCTGCACTCAAACAATCCTCCGAGCAATGGGACACAATTCAGGCAGTAAACCAGGCGACTCACAGACGTGTGCCTGCCGTAACAACACATCAGGAGGGAGTGCGGCCACACATTTATAGCCCAGTTACCCACCGCCTCCACACACACACACTCACTTCCCACACACACACACTCACTTCCCACACATACAAACCTATGCTCTTCATTTCTCTTATTTCATAGTTTTATGTTATATTTTCTTTATTTTTAAGCCATATCATTTATATAGAGTGGAATAAGTTTTACAGAAGTCCATTTTTCTGAGACATGAATTTGTGAGGTCATCCTGCAACACTGTAGGAGGTATTGGGGGAACCTAAGGGTGAGTTTCAACTACCCGGTAACCAGAAAAACTCTTTATCCAGCACCTCTCAGTCCCCGTAGGTGTCAGATAACTGGGATTCTACTGTATACACCGACCTGATGGACAACTTGAGATGGCAAGTGATAGGTAGACATAGAAAAGTCCAAAGATCAAATTAGAAAAAAGTTGAAAGTAACATAAAATAACAATGAAATAACATCATTAACAAATGTTTACTGGTCTAGTTAAATGAAGGCTTCATTCTGAAAAAGCATCTAAGTCTATAATGAGTGACTTGTGTCAATACTGTACCCGGCAATGCCCATGTGACTGGAACCCTGGGAACCACATATGAAGGCAGCTGGGAATGAGCCCTAGATCAGTCATAACAACCTTATCCTTTAAAAGATGTCTGGGAAGATATAGTTACTACAAAATACTGAAATGTAACGACTGATAAAGTTGAGCAGCGAGAACAGCCTGTTCTTCACCCGACAGACCCGGCCATAGGGGGCTTATAAACCCAACCTCTGAGGGAGACCTCAACCCCTTCACTACGGGGACACCACTTTTAATATTTTATCTGGTTAATGCTAAAAACAATGTTATTAATGCTCAGAATGGAACCTGTACACAAAGGTTTAACTGTTGAACATCCTGGGAAGGAGACAATTAATAATTTTTTTTGTTTCACAAATAAACCTGCTTTAGCCAGATAGTGAGGCCCTCTATGAGGAGAAAGTAGAAGTGTCACCAGACAGGGTACCCAAATAATCAAATTGTCTATGGAGACAATACAGTAAATACCTCTGCAGTCAACCCTACCTTCTATACAGTATACTTATATTGTAATATACGTACAGAAATTCATCACAATTTTTCAAACAAATATAATTTACCCCAAAAATTACAACATAAGACATTCTAGATAAAAAATGGTTTTTCTATCGTGTTTAGAATGAATTTAATTAAGATGAATATAAACACCTGAGGAAGATGGATTCAATGAGTGAGCTACTCCAGATCATGTGGGGTGTGGCTGCCACCCAGTAGAAAGTAATTTAGCAGGAGATGAAAATAATTAATTGATTTAAAGAAATAAGCTCAGAAAGAAGACCTGTGTGTCACAGATGATGGCAACTGTCGCTGAGGAACACATACAACATAAAGCGACTTTCCCGCCATTTTCTTTTTTATTTATTTTATTTTATTTTTATTTTTTGGAAAAGTTTATTTTTTCTCGATTTAACCCTCGGGGGAGTACTGCCAGCAGCACCCTAACCCGGGGCTTAAGGGTTAAAACTGGACACCTGACTTGATATTACATCGCACACAAAATGCAGAACACGAATAATCAAGATGCTGTGGTTGGTGATGGATTACTGTAGTACAACACACAAGGAGAGTGTAATCCACTGTGCCAAAATAAACACAATGGTGTGTATAGTATTAACATATCCAGGGAGAGAGAGAGAAGTACAGTACTCATGAAAGACTTACAACAGATTTTACTGCTTTGTGCCAATGAAAATTACATCAAAATGTCATAAGTAACATTTTATATTTTACAAACAAGAAATATATTAGAAATACTTGAAGATAGTGATATAACTATGATTGTTGTGTCACTATCTTCACTATATCCCAGCTGACCAAGATACTGTGCTGCATCATGATGAGTAAAGCATTTTTGTTGTGGTTATCATATTCATCCTGTATTGTACTGTAATTTGATTTTGTACTACGGGTCCACAATCCCTTAGCCGCAATTTCGAAATCCGAAAAGCTCTGTAAACCGAAAGTTTTTCGTGGAGCATCACTCCCGTGCACGACATACCCAGAATGATGCCGAACACGACCCGACGTGGCCGAAGCTTGACCCACGCAGGTGTGAGGCGTCAGTTGTGTCTCAGCGCTGCTACCAGTCACACGTGCGTCTGCTGCTCTCTGACATTTTCTGTGATTTTGAGATTTTGAGTTTAATTTCACTGTGAAAATGTCAAAAAGAGCTTCAGATGCCCCTATGGGTAACAAGAAGAAGAAGAAAAGGAAGCATCTCTCATTATTGATAGCACAGAAAGTGGAGTTATTACAGAAGCTTGATCGTGGTGTGGCGTCTTACTGAAGAATATGGTGTGGGAACTACCAACATATGTGACTTAAAGAAACAGAAAGACAAGTTGTTGAAGTTTTACACTGACAGTGATGACCATAACTAATGAAAAACAGGAAAACATTACTGAGGGCAAAAAATGAAGATCTTGACCGTGTGATGATTGAGTGGATTCAACAAAGAAGTGAACGTATGCCACTGACTGGTTTGTTGGTCAAGAAACAAGCTAGAATATACCATGAAGAACTGAACATTGAAGGTGAGTGTGAATATTCAGAAGGTTCGTTGTAGAAATATTAATGTGTTTGCTTACGGGTTGCTGCCACAGACCGCTGGGGTGTTACCATAATATACGGTATATGTACCGTACTACCGTTCTCAAATCCGAAAAATTCCAAATTCCAAAACACATCTGGCCCCAGGGGTTTCGGATAAGGGATTGTGAACCTGTACATTAATAGTTATTACTGTACATTAATAAGATACATACACTCATATTAATGAAAAATGTTTGTGAACACTACCTACAAGCAATTTACTTTTTCACACTCACAAACATAAAAAAGTATATGTGTGTCCATCTGACAGAGGAGGAACGATAGGAATATATTGACAGATTATCCTGAGAACAGTCTTGGCCACAAGGAAGTCCACAGCCAGACTTCACCTCATAAAGCAACAATTTTACACAAGAAGATCAGAAGAGTTATCCTTGGACTTTCTTAACAAGTAACTATCATAGATACATGGCACAATGAAGCCTACACTAGTCATCTGCACAACCAATCACTGAATTACACTCTTACCAAAGACTCAGCCACATAATGATCAAGGATGTCAGGATTCTGCTGGTCAGAGACTGAATTACATGAAACTTTCCACATTTTCCACTGTAAAGTTTTTTAACAGCTTTGGTAGTCCATTGTTTTTGAGGGACCTTAATACACATAAAACAGAAGAGGTAGCCAGCCAGTGGTAGATCACTAGCTCCTGTGGTCAACACTCAGGAGTGAAGCACCATGGTGCAGTACAGTATATGATTCAATGGGGGATTTACACAGAATTTAACCATCTGACCCAAAGGGGGTTAATAATTCCCTACAGTCAGTAAAGGAATAACAAACTTACTAAATCAATCACAACAATAGTAGTGTGATACCTTGCACAAGTCCCCAGCACTCATGTGGATAGATCACAGGCCACACTAACCCAGTCTATCCTGAAACAGGAAACCCCATATCTCCCTAGCTAGTGAAAATAGCCAGAGCAAAGACTCAAACAACCCTGAGCACCAGTTCAGACAACTGACTGACCTCATCTGAAATGAAGTAAGTAAATTAGTTGACAAAACTAAATTCCCAAAACAATTAACATTCATAAACCAAATACAGCAATACAATATAAGATTTGTACCGCGAGTATTGGTACACGGAGATGTCTCAGATACGTGGAGAGAATGGAGGAGACCAGTAGAGTCAAGTGGAGGGGAGACTGCAACACACCCCACAGCATGAAGAGCTAACCCATGCAAGCACAGAAAATGATGCTGAGGATGAATAAACAACATATCATTGAACTGCAAGTGAGATCAATGGATAACTTATTAATTATCAATAAGAATAATGTGAATGGTAAGTAAAATAGACCTTGTCAGTCCCTCCTGGAGAAACTTCCTGGGAAAAATTCTCGGTGCAGCTTTTCGTGCGTAGTGCAGACACTCGTAGAAAGCATAATCCTGGTTGTAGAAGAGAGAATGTTCTCAGTGAACAAACTAGCCAGATGTAGTGAAGTACAACACCACTCAAAGGTTAATTAATGTTCCACTACATAATAAAAGAAGCTGGGACACACAACATCCCCCATAACCTCTTTTGGAACAGAATATCTATAATGTTATCCTAGACCATCCTTGTTCCCCAGACAGATCCATCAGCAGGCCTGGAGAATAAATTGCCTAATAAATGGGTTGGACTGCCCACCATAAAAACATGGTGGTGGCAGCTGCCCCAAATCACCACACCAGTTGCACCTTAGTCAAGATGTTATTGAATGTAAACACTTCAAAACAGATAAATAATCCTCTCTTCCCATACAAAGAATAATACAAAGAACAGAACTGTGTGAAGGTGAAAATGGGTCCCATAGCTCTGATGACCCATTTGAGAAAGTGTCAACACAGTACAATGTAAACTTTGCCTTTTATTTGGCACACAGGGAGGCCAGCACTACACCTCAATACCCGTCACTATCACCAACTGTAAAGTTAGGTGCCCATCCACAGTTGTGTGAACTAGGGATCGCCTGGGCGTGAACCAGCGACCCTAAGGATGAGAGGCAAGAACTGTATCCACCCAGCGGCAGCATCCCAAGAACTGTGTAACAATACCCAAAACCTCAGAAGTGCACACTAAAAACAAGGTCAGACACTTAGTTTACTGTCAAAACAGAAGTGTAGTTGGCAGCCTCACATCTCCTGACTTTAGTTGATGGTTGGAAAGAGATAAATTGTGTGAACCTGTCAGAGTTGTGAGAGGATCACACACCCAGTTTCTTCTTCATGACCTGTTACCTATGAACCTTGAGTAGTACCTGTAGCTTCTCAGTTCATGGGATAGGGTTGTTATGGGAGAGTTGTCTAATCTTTGTGTTAGTCCAACCACCTAAGTTTGGGGTTCCCTGGGTTCCAGAATTATAGGCTTCAGAAGGCATAAATATAAGTCACTCTTGAGAGGCATCAGGTTACAAACAATATAAAAAGAGAAAACAATAAAGCTAGATAAAAATCATAAGAGAAACATTTGAAGTCTGACAGATGAACAAAAAGAGGTACACAGTAGTATGAAGTAGAGTAAGTAACTATAATCAGAGGTTGATTCTGAAATCCCATTTTATAGCCGAGTTTGGATCAGGTGATTTAAATACTGTGTAGCCAGAGACGTCTACTGATTGAAAACCCAGGGATCCAAGGACCCCTGACACTGTTGACAGTAACTAATTAAAAAGTTAGTTAACCTTCCCATCACAAGTCTATCTCTTTAATAAATCTGAGAGGCAAAAGTCACTACTTAGTCTAAAGGTTGAGTCTTTGCCATAACACTAACATATTTAATACTTGACCCTTCTGTACTCTGCAGTATAGAGTCATTCTGCAGGTGAGCCCCTCAGTTCCTGCCCACCTCAGCAGTACTGTATCTATAAAGGGAAGGGAGGGACCTGAGCCACCTCATCAAGACTTGCCTATAAAATGGGATTGAGGACCAATTTTTCATTTATTGCCTGAAACTTGGGTCAACAGACTGCAGTAACTGTAGCTAGCTAGAAATGGGAGGAAAGAGGCACAACATCTCCATTTTTTAGAGCAATATACACCCCAGTGGGGAGAAATTAAACCAAAAGAAAGGTACCTGTACAATGAGGAGTAGTAAAATTTATGCTTCCCACAGTCATTCAATTATGGGGTGAAGACCAGGTAAGCTAACAGGTGTAGTACAGTGTTTATCAAGGTTTCTCTCTGGAAGATGGACTAAAAAAATATGACATTAATAAGTTCAAATGAAGATGCAGTGCCCATGATGCCGTGTATTCATGGTCGAATTAGCTTATGAAAGGCTAGGTTATGCTGCAAAGAAATAAAGTACCGTACGCGGCTGAATGGTGAAGGCTCACAAACTATTCTCATTCTGGGAAGTTTAATAAATTCAAACCAACTTACACAACTAAAACCTAGAATTGGGTGATTACAATTGTCACCTGAACACAGCCTAGATCATTATCATCGTCATCACCGTTTCATGGCCATTTCCCAAACATGGATGGGTTAGATGTGACTTCCTGATAGCAGCTCTCTTACCACCACTCCCCATGACACTCTTGGTCTACCCCTGCATCTTTTGGTCCACTCTACTCTCCTCCAGTCTCTCCACAGGACCAAAACATCTTAGCCTGCTTCTATGATTTACCAATACAGTACTCCAGCTGCCCTCTTAGCTCTGGACAAGGTTGCTTATCTTTCAGTGTCACATTACACATACACTATAAAAGTACTTGGAAGGTTTAGAGTTAGGCTTTCAACAGTAATGGGGTGAAGCAGAGGCATCAGCTCTCACTGTCCAATTGACTGTGTCTATGGAGTCAACTCATGAAATGATATTTTATTGGGGAACCAGATGAGGGTCAAGAAGTGCCTGTGGTAGTGTGATGGTGAGAACTCCCCGCCTTCAGTCTTAAGTGGTAACTTTTGCCACTCGGTTGAGATGTGACAGTCAACTAATTTTTAAATTAGTTCCAGTCAACAATGTCAGGGGTCCTGAGAACTCTGGATTTTCAACTCAGAGACATGTCTGGCTATACTGAGTTGTATGAGCCAGACACCAGAGAATAAAACAGATTAAGATGAGTCAGTGACCAAATGTGAAGAACGTGACAGAGATGCAAGATGGTAAAAAGAGGAAGGTCTGTAAAAAGTAATTAATATTACAGTAAAGGACATGAAACTGTCCACAACTTAGAGAGGGAGAAACTAGTGAAGATTACTAATAAAAACAAGTTATGAAGCCAGTAAAAAATACAAGTGAGGAAACGTTAACATAATAAAAGATGTTAGGAAACACTAAAAGTTAAAGGAAAGGCTCAGGAGTAGTACTGTACAGTATATAAATAAGAGATAAATTAATCTAAGACAATGTGTGAGTAAAATAATCTCACAAACTAGTGGATATGTTGGGATGCATTAGATCTAGAAAATAAATAAAAGACAAAATAAAAAATAAAAGAATAAAAAATACCACAATTAGTCAAACCCCCCCTCTTCCCGACTTGGCGTGGGCCAGGTGGGTAAAACGAAGCTCTCTACCTGGTCTGTGTGCTGCCATAGGATTGCACAGGGGAGGTGGTGGCAGTGGTGGTAGAAGGGGGTTGTTGGCCGCGCACCGGGTAACTTACACCATCGCCTAGACTAGAATAACAACGAGAGAGTACAAATTCTTAAAAGGGTTGACGCTGCGTTAGGTGGGGTGGTGATAGTGGTTTCTTGTGGCATCAATTACATCACCAGCCATTCACATCATCATCCAACAACAACAAAAAAGTTCTATTGAATCTTTAACGATAACAACAACTATTGTAGAGTCACGTTGAACACTAATAGTTCTCGTGAGGTTCTCTTTGGTAGTTACAGTGCACTGATAGATGAACTTATCAAAGTGTGTTTCCATGACTACAAAATGATGAGCAATCTCCAAAAATTGACTATGATATTGCAATTATTTTTCTTCATTAATACACAATCAAACAATCATACTGAAGAAATAAATCTATTCTTACTAATAATAAAACAGTATAAAGGTTGTGGCTATAAGCACTGCACTGTACATCCTATACAACTAAAACTATTACTAAAACTATTATATTATATGTGAAAATAAAATATGCATACATCATCAGCAGGATAACTTTACAAAGAGCCATTAATTGGTCTATTGTAAAGTAATAAAAAATACTGTACTGTAGATGCAGAAAAATGTACTACAGTACTTATATTCCTTGTACAGTCAGAGTCAAAAGTTCGCTCCCGCCCATAATGAAGCAGCGTCGACCCCAAATGAGATGAAACGGTCAGGGTAAGTCAGTTCGGAGACTAATTCCCGTGACTCGGTGGGAAGCGAACTCTTGTCCCCGACTGTACCTTTATTGTCCGCACTGGCTGTCACATCACTCACTGAGAAAAGTACAGTAGAGTACACACATAATGAGATACTGTATCATATAATTAATCTGTGAAGTTATTCCTCTCTGATCTTTTCTTACTGCAGAGTGAGATAATGTGTCCACTGTACAGTACTGTGGCTCCAGCCCACCACTTAACAACTCTTACCAGATTTCTGTAAAATGACCTACAAAAATACAAAACTTAATTTATATAAAATAGATCGATGCTTTCTTATTAGTTCAACATATTCCCCAATCAGGATTCTGAAACTTAGAATTAATAACATTATCAAAGCCAGACAGATAAGCCAGAGTATTGTAAGCACTGCCTATCACTGGCTGGGAGCTGCACTAATGTTCAAACATGAAGTCTTATTACAACACTCACTCTAAGACAACTTTGTATAGTACTTTACATGTCATTACAGTATTTTCAGACAATAAGTTAAAATTATTAACAAATACTGTACATCACAACGAGGTAAACAACAAACTCTAGATTACAGTGTTTGGTCGTCTGTAGTACATTCAGCTGGGCAATACACGATACATAGTGTGCTCTCAGATACTGATCGGGACAGTGCTATTGTAATACTGTATTTTGATCTTGCCACGAGATAAGAGTCATAGCTGGAGATGGATCTCTTTGTAGCACAGTTTGTAAAGAAATGAAATAAGATAACGGCAGCCACAAGCAACCACCTGTAAATCACCTTTTTCATATGATTATGTTGTAGATTGAGTCAATTTCTGTAGAAACAAAACTATTTAACCGTAGGTGTTGGCATCCAACGTTGGTGGCGGTACAGCGATAACGAGTGTCGTCTCTAGCCACAATGTCAAGGGTTCGAGTCTTGCTTGGCCCAGACACACGTGAGAAGGGTGTTACCCAGTGTGACACTACCAAACATCACAGGTCTCCTCCTGTACTAACACCCGACAACAAAAGTTCATAGCGATGTAACAAAGAACGAACCAACTGCCCTAACGGCCAGTACAGTAAGCTGATAATTGGTGAAATGATAAATGATAACTAATCAGTGAGAGAATGAAACACCAGCAGCTATTTAACAAGTTATATTCAGCTCAGGCCTTGTTTGTTATGTTGACCAGAGACCGGCCGCTCAGTATACCCTCTAGGTGAGCAAGCATTACGTAGAGTGCATTATTGCCCAACTGAACGCAGTGCTGATACTGATGACTGTGATGATGACAGTCAAGTGAGTTATTAAGAAATTGCCTAATTTAATCTCATTAAAGAGACTCCCAAAATAGATGAAGGTATTTAATTTTGCTAACCTTCATGACAATGTTTAGTCATACATGATAAATAATTTCATAAATCTTAATTATGAATAGTAAAGAAAATGGCTTACTTTTTAGGGAGGGTATGAAGGTGTGTGAGAGAGAGAGATGCCACACACGGCAGTCTTCTGACCCCTAACTAGGACTACAGTAAAGGTATGGGGAGTGCTTAAATACCCCTGGTTTATCTGAGGACTATATCATCAAGCAATTCCCTACATCTCCCTTTATAATCCTGTAGATGGACTAAATTTTACCAATTAAGAAGCTACATAATAAAGTACCATGGCACAGTGAGAAATAAGTGAAATTATTGTTACAAAATATAGACAAATAATTTTCCCTGGGTACAGTCATCACCTTCTTAACCTCTATGATGCATTCCTGAGAACCAGTACTTTAATTGGGCAGTAATTCCCCACAAAAACCCTTGTTAACAATAGTGTTAGGTGTATGTCCTAAACAATCTCCTCAATATTTTGTTACCTTCAATTGCCTCTAATAATGACAAGTGGTGAAATATAAGCACAAACTTTAATCAGGAATGTTGTCGTGTGGAGAAGAGAAAGAAAAATTGTTAGTTAAAATGTGAAAATGGATGTGTTTAGGCATTTTGAAAAAGGGAACAAGTTGTGGTAACATTAGAACCCTCCATTTAATATTTGTAATTGTTTCATTAACCCCTCGTGTACGGTGTCCTCCCCACGCTGAATAAAATCGTCTGTTGTTAGCCAAATAAAATGTTATAAGTGGTGTCCCCGCAGTGATGGGGTTAAAATAACATATCAAAAGCCTCATTTCAAGTAAATCTCAGCTCAACAGTTCTTAACCAAGAGTAATCCGTAGCGGGTAAAAGAAAAAATAAATTCTTGACTGGGTTAAATATACCAATTCCAAAATACTGTAGTTAAATTTTTTATCCTTTCACCTAGAAAATCAGTTTATCAAATTCGTAGATAAAGTGACTGAGGCGAGGCAGCAACAATGTTCCCACTGATACTCCTGTTTTGGGTGTTTTAAATGTGTGTAATATTAACTGACATGAATATAACGTGTTCTTCTCTTTCACTACAGCTTATTATTGCACAAAACTATGATCATTAATGCTGTGCTTTTCAATGCTACTTTTGTTTTGTTTTTGCTAAAATTTCACTGACCAGTCGATGAGTTAAAACAGTTTAAGGGGTGAGAGTAAATGACCGGTCATGTCGAGCCCAAGGAGTAAATGGTGGAAAAAAGTAAAGAATCCCTCTCAGATGCTTCTACTAACAAACATCATTTCTGACATTTTCAAATTTTCTTTAAAGTATAATTTTTTTTAATAAATAAAACAATGAATAAAGCTTTGTTTGAAATGTTGTGCATTTCTTAATGAAGTACAGAACAGTACAGTACAGGTACCATTTATGCAGTAAAATATCATAAAATAGCCTGAGGAAAGTAACCCCAACTAATAACATCAAACTTATGGTAATTACAGTGTGGTACTGTAGCAGTGAGACTGACACTGTACATGCCAGATTATTTCTACCCTAATTTCATCTGATTACTTAACAACACCAAAACTTTTCTTTCAAAATATTATTTGCTTTGTGACATTTTAAGATATATTTTCCTGACTGTACAGTTTCGTTCAAGATTCTTCGAACACTGCTGGAGACAGCTGGCAACTCGAGGCCATTTGTTTACTATAGTACGTAGTATAATATAATTCGAAACAACAAAGCCCAACCATATATTAAGCAACGGGGAACTAAGTAACCAATCACCGATCACTTTTACATTCAATCATAATTTTTACTACGTACTATAGTAAACAAACGGCCTCGAGTTGCAAGCCGTCTTCAGCAGTGTTCGAAGAATCTTGAACGAGACTGTACATATGTTTTTGTTTTTTCACTGGAATAGACCGCAGCGTTAAAAATGGGAGTCTACGGGAAAATGAGCTCGGAGGCAAAATAAGCATGTGTTGTTCCTGTACCATCCCTGTGTTCCATAGTGTGGGGCAGTACTGTAATGGTCATGTTATCCTTCATTATTCAACGCTTTACTCACACACAGGTTTTTGGCAATGTGTTAAAAAAATTAATTATCAGAATACTGTAGTAAGAGGTGGCAGGAATTTAGGAAAAAAAATCTGATGAAATTGAATTGAGTTGCAGGTACAGTACAGAAGCAGGTGAGAGGAGTGTAAAAGGTCAACATTATAATTATTTACTGTCCTAAGTTTATTTGCTCACATTTCACCGTTGTGTCACTATAAGAGGCAATCTGAGGTGTAAAATAAAATAAAAAGATGATTAAGAAGAATGTTATGGAATGTCTCTCCACTCATCGTCTGTGAGGAATTAATGTCCACTTAACATACAGGTTTCCAGGAACACAATACTGTACTGTATGTACTTTAAGTGAACACTAACTGTACTGTATAATTAAACACTAGATAAAAAGTATACTATACCTGTAGAGTATTAGTTTAAATATGTACAGCTGTGTGGCAACCAGGGATGGAGTTAATACGTACAAGAATTCAGTGTTTGGAGGCAGAGCTCGTCCGGGTGCGAGAGACTTCCGGGTAACGAGACGACTCTATCAAACCAGAAAAATCCCACACCCCAGATTTTTTCTGGTTATTGAGAAAAGTTTTTGAGTCTAAACATTATTTCATCCTCAGAATTTGCTCCCAAACCCAGTAAATATTTGGAGGGAAAGTTTTTTGGGTATTTTCTCAGACAATGCACCAGACTTTCAACCCAGAAACTCGTTCACAGACCCAGAATGGGAGAGTTTCCGGGAAAAATTCCGAGCCAATTTCAATTTCAGGTATTGGAGAGTTCTTGCTAACAGAGATATTACTACAAAGAAACTGTGTCACTCTGAATGTGAATGCTATTACTTTATGAAAGTGTTCATGAATATGAATGGTTACAAAATAACTTTTTATTGCTATATTTACAGTACAGTATGTAGTGGTAGATGATTGGTATTGAACAGACCCGCCCTCTCCTGTGTCGAGAAACAAGTAGTTATTTATAGTAACAACATACAGCACTGTACTGTATCGTCATTATACCTAATTTACTCTACACTTCTAGACTGGCTGCAGTGTTGCCAACAGTTAGCAATTAAAAAATCATTAAGTATACATATACAGTGGTACATAGTACTACATGTTTGGCACACAAAATAATTGTTTTCTTTCCAACTGCCTATAATAATTACTATAATATATCTAAAATTTAAATCCAATTTCAAATAGGAGCCAGAAATTATGGTTCAAACAATAACTTTAAGCTACAATTTGGCATCATACAAGTATACATCTCCCTCGCATCACCTCTCACTACAGCGGTGACTGCTGAGAGTTGCATGTTATTTACTAACAGTTTGTTTAAATATTAATTTCACTGAAAGATCTATCACTGCTCAGGTGACTCAGGTCATGGATTTAATAGGCCGATTGAATATTAAAAAACTCTCTCTCTGTTCGTCCAAAATATATTCAGCAGCCAAGTGTATGGTTATTTCATCAATAAAACAATTATTACTCGTCAGCTTATCCTACGAATATGAATACAGTACTGTACTTTGCTCGAGGATTAGATAACAAATGCAAATACAGTACTTTGATTTCCAATAGCACAGGTAATGTATACGAATACTGTACCCTGAAATGCTTTATTTGAATGAATGCATTCAAATATGAATACAGTGGTCCCTCGGTTAACGAACACAATTCATTCCAGAAGGTCGTTCATTAACCGAAAATTTCGTTAACCGAAACCATTGTTTCAATGAGATATTGGGTAATTGGTTCCAGCTCACAGAAAAGTATATACAAAGTAAAGCCAGAATATAATTTACATTGCTGGAATTCTTATAAGATAGTGATTAATTTGAATATAAACAAGCTAAAATTTGCATAAGACATACAAATTTTAGATCTAATTTAAGAATTTTATTAGGGAGAGCAAAAATTTATCTTTTGTGCAAAATATATGACATTTATATTCAAATTATTCCCTGTCTTGCAAGGATTTCAGCAATGCAAATTATATTATCCTAACTTTAGTCTGAGATATTATATTAAAAAAACACCTTAAAGCATAAAGAAATCACCAATCTTTTGTCTGGGAACAGCAAGGAGGGAGGGAGCGTGGGAAGAAGGGGGGGGGGGAGCGGGAGGTGAGGTGACAGAGTGTCTGGTGTTTGTTTATTTATTTGAGATTTTTGTTTTTAGCTCATAAAATTCATAGAAATTACCCGGCCAGAATATAATTTACATTGCTGGAATTCTTATAAGATAGTGATTAATTTGAAGGTAAACATAGAAGAGATCACTGAATTGGCTGAGTACCTCCTCAGCTTATCAGCTGATGTTCAAAACAAAATGTGATTTTCGTAAGGATTTCGTTAATCGAATTTTTTTTCGTTAACCGAATTGAAGATTCTTATAGAAGGTAATTCGTTAACCGAGGCGTTTGTTAACCGAGGGATCACTGTACTGAATATGGATACTCCATCCCTGGTGCCAACCTCCACAGTCCAGCCACATTATTTTTTTATTTGTTGTCAAACAACAAGAGCAAGAAATCAAATCAAAATAAGACTTGTACAGCTCCATTTCATCGACAATTTGCACAATAAAAATCAAATAAATTAAAAGAAAACTAATGCAGGTACAGTACACAGAAGAGAAGAAAGGAACCTCGTCCTGAGAGCTGTTAATGATGAAGCTGCCAAGTTGTATCCAAATTTGCTCTATAACTCACACAGTTCTTTATATGTACTGTATGCTTATAGTCTGTTCTGGATTTTATGTTTAGGTAGAAAACAGACGGGGTGCAGCAGTCACTCGCCTCCTGTTCTAAGAGTCGCTGGTGTGAGCTCATGGCACCACTCAACTGTGAATGGGTTCCTATTATTACAGTTGAGGAAGTGAAGACAGTTGAGTGCAATGCTGGCCAAACTAACTCCTGTACAGACTTACTCTAGTGTGTTGTACTGCCCCTCAGGAGCCTACAGGACCTGCTGTCATTATCCACAGCACCGATATACTTGTGGTCCACATACCAGTTTATCTCTCCTGCTGCACAAGTTTTTTCTTTTATCCATTTTTAAATCTTTTTTCTGGGTTGTACAAGATGATCACACATGCTGAGTATCATCATAGTTGTGTGTACAACCCACTCTAGTGATGATGCTCATCATAATTATAAATGATTATCCTACACTTCTACAACCCATACAAGCAGTCTATCCCCCTCTTAAAAAAAAATGGCATGGACAATACACAAAAAAATGGGAAAAAAGATGAAACCTTTTCCATGAGCTACTAAGAAGTGAGTAAGTTAGATAACCAGGGTCAGCACCTGTGTTCCTCCTGACACTAATATGTTGAAGTAGAACCTGTCCACACTGTCCTGTACTAGACCACACAACCTAGCCTAACACACATAGTAGAACCTGTCCACACTGTCCTGTACTAGACCACACAACCTAGCCTAACACACATAGTAGAACCCGTCCACACTGTCCTGTACTAGACCACACAACCTAGCCTAACACACACAATAGAACCCGTCCACACTGTCCTGTACTAGACCACACAACCTAGCCTAACACACATAGTAGAACCTGTCCACACTGTCCTGTACTAGACCACACAGCCTAGCCTAACACACATAGTAGACAAATCATACAATTGGATGTTGAAAAATCAAAATGGATATAAGAATATAAAATAAGAGAGATACAGTACATCAGTGGTGGCCAAGAATAAGTACAGTACACATCAGATATGTACAATAATTTCCAAACAGAGCATACCACTGTCGCAGGAGGGGGTCACTAGCTACTGCACATGATGCTCTAATCCTCATGGACCTGATGTATAATTCTGTCCTTCTGAGTGAGGTGAATAGTATATGTGATGCGGTACACAATATTGTACTGTATGTAAATAAAATAAAATGTGGAAAATGGTGATAAAACTTTTTTGTGTGTATGCATAATTTGCTAATTAAATATTTGGATAGTGATTCTCTGAAACTTTAGCTTTACATTTTATAAAACTAACAATAACATTACATAACATGAAAATCTCCCGTAGATTTTCAATTAGACATGACAGCATCTTATTTCAGGGAGAGGGGAGGACCTGTGAAGGGGGTGGCCTTGTGGGATTACTGTGTACACCAAGCACCATCTCCCACTGCAACGTGTGAGCAAATTTGTTTTCTAATGTAACTTTATTTTTATTTACGGTTAAACTAGTGTATGGAAATTATTGCACAGTACTGCATTTCTAATGAGTGTTTTCTGTAAACTATTTCTAAAAACAACAGCTTGAACTCTAATATCTTACACCTGGAACGTTATTACTGTATGGATGCCATAATCTATTAATCGGTAATAGCTAGAAGCCACAGTTGCCCAAAAGCTGGAAGCTAAGGAATCAGAATATCATACAGTGCATGTGCAACTCATTCACTTCAGGCATAACCAATGTCCTTCAAAGTCTTACTGGGGGCAAGCTTGCCCTATTGTGGCAGGAAGTTTTATTAGAGCTGAGCTACCTAGGCAGTGCAGTACAGTACTACTTGTGTCACTGTTGCAGCCAAACATCTTGATTTCAAGGCCAATCCTCCATTTTGCTGTAGTTCCAAAAGTATTTTAGTTTAGCTGGACTATTCAGTCAGCGACTCAGGGTGTCTAATAAGTATTAACACTTGTGAATGAACATGTTTAGTTCTCATATAATTTATTGTTAAAAAGAAGTGAGGAAGAGCAGTATTTTATGGTTTTATTTCATTATAAAATCAAAACATCTAAAAAAAATCAACACACATTCTTTTCATCTTACAAACTAAGAAGATTTAGACTAATTTGATTTTGCATAACTGAATACAACATATTAGTTCTTCAGCCTTTGTCTAGTGTGTCACCTTCATAACAAACTGATCAATAAAACATTTATAGCCATACCATCTGCCCTTTAGTATATAATAACTTTACAGTACTTCTAACTTAGCCAAAAATCAAACAAGTTAAAAAGAATTTAAAATTAAAGGTAGATGTTGATTTTCTTTAAATTTTTTGAGGAAGCAATAAAATAGATCCAACAATGAATTTTTTGACTGAGAGATGAGGGCTGAGAATAAAAAAGTGACCTTATAATTATGGTAACTTCTTAAAAAAAAGTTAAGTGAAATTTTGTAAAAACTTATATCCAGTTCTCACAGCTATACAGTATAAGGGAATAAATTTAAGTGCAGGAACCTCTTCAGATACACTCAATATAAAACTGTACCTTGTTATAGCTGCACAGTAGTATGTGTTACTTTAAGACCTCAACACCCCAGGATATTATACCACTATGATACAAGTCCACAGAAGACAAGAGTACTCACCTGGAGGCCACTGGAAGGAACCATAGCTTCTTGTTATCCCCAAACACTTCAACAAAGTTATTGAAAGCACCCAAACTGAAGCCGTCTTTATCCTGTAGCCAAGCATGGTTCAGCCGGAAGATAGGAGCACGGAACGACTCTGTTCAAATGTGGAGTACAGTAGCTGAATTATTATCTTTCTCAATCTATCACATTCTTCTTTATCACTTTACGCTTCTTCTTGCCTTTGGACTGGACCCAGGGTACCCAGACACTAGTGGCTGGCAAAAACTGACTCCCAGTTGCAGTTATATGAATATTAGTTGCAACTAACCTGATTTTGTTGCAGCTAACTTGACTAATAGTTGCAGTTAACCTGATGACTAGTTGATCCCTACCCTCTGTGATCACTCTCATAATGGAAAACCAGAAGAAACAACTGTCACTGAAAGCTGGAGGTCAGGCTTTACCTTCTTGGAGTTGTTAAGCACAAACACAGTACAGTATCAGTTGCCAAGTACACTAGGTATGGAAATATTCCTACATATATCTCTTGTTGTCTGAGCCAAGTGTCATGGTCCCTTTATTGTAAGACAGAGCAAGAAAAGAGAAAGAAAATGCTTTGGACAAAATCAGATCAGGGGGTGAGGGGTGGGGTGGGGTGGGGGGTGGGGTGGGGTGAGGGGGGGTGGGGTGAGGGGTGGGGTGAGGGGTGAGGGGTGAGGGGTGGGGTGGGTAAGGGGTGGGGTGAGGGGTGGGTGAGGGGTGGGGTGGGGTGAGGGGGTGGGGTGAGGGGTGGGGTGAGGGGTGGGGTGGGGTGAGGCAGTGGGTGCATGAATGAAGAAATAGGAGGAAGTGCCAGATTTGTTTAAGATCACATCTGAAGAATTTCCATTAAGTCTGAAGCCATTATACCTACAACATCTAAGCAGTCCACAGCTCAACCACAATGAAGTATTTATCATTAATGTCTAAATGATTTGTAAGTTAGACTCGAAATGGCGAATTTTACTAAAAAGTAAAATAAATAAATAAATACGTACATGAAATAAACTCACAGGTACAGGCTGTCCCCGACTTACAACAAGGATACGTTCTTGGACCCATAGTTTAGGTTAGGTTAAAGCCCACACAAAACAATAATAATATCCAACACATAACAAATAATGTGAATGAAGTGATGTTAAACAATATATAATGATGAAAATAATTAAAATAAAATTATTTTAATTACATTTTTTTGCAATGAATGTATTGGGATCCCTTTCATAAGGGCGGTTGATGGTAAGTCGGACGTTCGTAACTCGGGGACTGCCCGTATTACATTATTAATCTAATAGCAATCCCCTTCCAAACTTGGGTCTACCAAATGGAGCTTTGAGTCTCCACATTTTATATTCTGTACACTGTCTCACTGTACAGTATACTGGTTTAAGTATCCATGGGTTTCCAGTGCCACTGTGGGAGATTTCTAGCTACTGTAGTCGTGACCAAGATGGTAGAGCCACAGTTCAGGTGTACAACATGGCCACCCTAAGTCTTCCTGTCTCTATATGACAACTGTTCCACTTGATCTCCCCAGTTTGGCCTCATGGGTGTGGTAGGGGATGACTGGCAGAGGTGGGCAGTAATATATATATATATATATATATATATATATATATATATATATATATATATATATATATATATATATATATATATATATATATATATATATATATATATATATATATATATATATATTATATATATATATATATATATATATATATGGAACATCCCTAGTCAGCTGCCTGCTTTACCAGGAGCTGCCTGCTGGAGATCACTAGTCAAAAATATAAACAGTACATGAAAAAACCCTGAAGATGATACAAAAAGCTATGAAACTGCACATAATACAGTATAAAAAAAGTCCAGAAGGGAATAAAAATATGACATAAAGGCCTTACTTTAGCCTACATAAAGGTAGCGTACATTAATACCTACCCAGTGTGGACCTATTCTTGACGACTAAGAAGATGTGGTAGCCAAACAATGAGACCAGACTGATGGCGAACATGATGGACACGAAGAAGACGAACAATATGTGGAACTTTCCCTCCTCACCAAGCTCATTCTGAGGAACAACAATACATTAATGTATTTCTCTTTTACCAAATTAAAGCCCATGCCTTTCAGTGCTGAGTGAAGATATAGGTAACATTTAACACAAATAAAGGGGGATGGTAGTGGATGGCAAGAGGATGATGATGATGATGATGATGATGATGATGATGATGATGATGATGATTATGATGATGATGATGATGATGATGATGATGATGATGATGATGATGCCCCAAACTGTGTCACTCAATATACTCACACACACACACTACCTCTGGACAACAAGAGCCACTAACATATAATCAAATACATCTGCACCATAGTAAACTGTGCTGGCCTATGATGGGCTCCAGCAACATCTGCCTCCACCTTCTATAAACTCCACAAGACTCAACCAAAGCCTTCAGAAAACACTAGGATGCCTTAAGACCACAAATATTAGTCATCTACAGATTTTCCCCATACAAGACCAGGTTGACATCATAGGCATAAAGTTCACTGCCCTGTCACAACACAATACCTGATTCTTGATGGTAAAATACACCTCCCATTACCATAAACACACAAAACCCCATAATAATACTTCCCATTATATACTGGAACCTTAAGTTTAGTGTATTTCTTACCACTACTTACTACCATAACCTCTGATTGTCTTACATATTTCCTATTCTTCTCTTCTTGTGTCTTCAGATGTGTTGACTTATGATGAACAAAGCCTTGATGAGGTCAAGAGACTGGTTTTACTTTATTATCTAACCCTCAATAATATCTGACTTAACACCTCCAAACCCAGCCACCTACAAACACATACTATACAGTACAGTACAACCTCCTCCACATAGAGACTTCAACAACACAACATACAGTACTGTGCTGTCTGAACACTCCCCACAGTAATGAGAATATTGTCTGGTACCGCACTGTACATTTTGCCATACTATGTTCTCTTAACCAATTTCGAAATAACATTCAACTCTTGCAGTACTGTACACTCACTTTTTCTCTTACCTTCCAAAACTTGATGAAATATTGCAAAGTTGTAGCTCCAATAAAAAGGCAGTAGAGGAGAGCATATCCCAAGAATAATATGAAGAATTTGTAGTTTGTGAAGGCAACACAGTTGTTAACCCATGGGCAATGATGATCCAGTTTTAAGACACATACTCCACACACTGAGCAGTGGTGGCATCTGTCTGGCTTGATCTGCACACACTTATCACAATAACGGATATCTGAGGAGGAGAGAAGTCACCAAGTTAACTCAACACTTTTAGTCTATTTTGTGTTAAATGTTGAGTGTAGGGTTCTAGTGACATCCACAGCATGTTCCACCTTTTCAAAATGCCATAACCCATCTATTTTCACATCTAAGCTAATATTTTTTCTTTCTTTCTTCTGTACATGACAACAATCTTTTTGTATACCTGTTCACTGTTTTAAGTTTGTATTCATATGTTGCAATGTGGTGTTGTGTGTGTGTGTCTAAGATGAACAAAATGCTCTGGTTACCTATAGTCTATGTTGTTTCATTTTATTATTGTTCGGTACAGTATCATTATGGTGTATTTTATTTTCTTAAACCAATGTTTGTATGAATGAGTGTGATAAAGCGTAGTAAACATGGGTAGGTCTGGAGCAGTAGAGTATTCTGGCCAGTGAACCTGTACAGCTGACACCAAAATTTTCTACAATCAAAATACTGTTTGGGCCCAAGAAATCTAGATGCTCAAAGTTTATCTCTATGATACTAAAAACAATGAATGAATAAATGACTGATGGAAGAGTCTGTGTTACTCCTGATTCTGTCCAGCTTGAGCTTTATGGGAAAAGGATTACAGGAGCAGAAATACTTTATGGTGGATTTCTAAGTACAGTTGCCTCCACATGACTGTACCACATCCTGGGAGTGTGTGAGGGATTGGGTACAAGACGTGGCAATGCTGCACCGTAGTCAGGACAGAAAGAACAGACGTGAAACAGTGAAATTGCCCAGTTTGACCGACCACACATAAATACCGAAGAACACACATCACATAGATGCTTTGTTTGTTTATGTTCTGCAGGATGGTTGTGCAGCCACCACCGAGTGACTAGGATTGAACTACGGGAACTGGCAAACACGGTAATCCACGGTTTCACGCCCACGGCCCTGTGGTGCCATATCTCGTACCTGTGCCCTCACACACTCCTAGGCCGGAGTACATTCATGTGATGGCAACTGTAATTCAAGTTAATGGATATCATGACACTGATGACAATTTCAAGGTAGTTTAGTCACACAAATGGTCAGACTTACCGCCAGTCATGGTGCGGTTGTACACTGGGAGGCTCTGCTTCTGAATAAATCTCTCTAGGACGTCCCGTCTCACTTCCTCCGTCTCCGCCGACTCATAGCGATCCAATTCCGTTGGTGGTAACCGAAACTGATTAGGTGAGGAAAAATAATATATAGACAAATTTTACTTTCAAATAACAGTTGACAAGAAAGACATTATTAAAGTGAATATGGTACAGTACTGATTAATTGTAAGGAGAGGTAATGGAAGTATCTGACACAAACACAATATACAGTACGTACATACAATACAGTAAAACCTCGATTAACCGACCCCATATGGGGGGAAGGGGCCGACGGATAATCCGAAAGGTCGGTTAATCGTACATAAAGTCTACGGAAATAAAACAAATATTTACATAGTAAACATACATTTACAAAGTACCTTTCCCTACCTACCTCATTTAATTCCCTCTATTCATTTTTGTTCATTTGCCATTCATATTTCAATAGAATTTGCTTTAAAACATTAACCACTTTAGTAAATAAATATGAACCAGCACAGAAACCGTGAATAAAAAATGGAAAAGTCAAAGAACATATTGTATGTCATCACAAAAATTGTGACCAAGTCCCAGGTTGCTGATCTGACTTTCTGCCTCATTTACACACAATTGCAGGGTCTCAATTGTTTCTCTTACTATTGACAACACAACATACATATATTGTTTCTCACTCTTGATTTTTTTTCATTTTTTGCATTTCTTTATGGTTCTATATTACTATTATTATTATCATTATTAATATTATTACATTATCGCCCCCCAGGCCCCGATGTGGGTCAGTGACCTGTGCCCGGTTAATCGAGGTTTCACTGTACTATACAGTATTACCGTATATACTCGTGTGTCGTTCGAGTTTTTAAGAACCAATTTTTAGGCAAAAAATTGGGGGTCGACCTCTACATGGGTACCGTAATAGTTCTGTTAGGTTGAATCCATGCATGATGGGAAGGGCGAGGAGCAACTTTTAGCTTCAGACATGAAAAATATTTACCATTTACTGCCAGTAAACAATGGAAACATTAAATATGCACCAATTAGTAATGAACAGCTGTGCTGTTCCTTCAGCAAATGAAGCTCACCAACTTACAATAGGCTAAATTACCTTACAAAGTGTTTTCAGTAGTCTATGTTGAAGTTCTTAGCACAGGCTAACTTATCATATCATATATGGTATCACAGTTCTCATTGATGTACAAAAAATACCAGTAATAAAAACCTTTTCGATATTTCACACTTATAATAATACCCGTTAATCCACCTCAACCTCCTATTGTTTACAACGATGCACGACGCACCACTAGCTCTTGAGTATCACGGTACACGTGTTTTTCGAATAGTTTTTAGTTAAAAAACTGTTACATCACACGTAGATTTTACCTTAACTGTGCCTGAATGAATATATTCTCAGAAATAAATAGTAGTTTTGCTGAAACGTGATGTATTTCAATATAAAATAGGATAAAATACATGACGAAAACAAAAGACTTTACCTAACCTTCCGATGTTCAAGAGATGTTACTCATTTTTTTAATAGTTTTCGGTTAAAATACTGTTATATTACAATGTTATTCTATTCATACTGTGCTCGATATAAAACATTCACGGAAATGTAATATTTTTGCTGAAATGACGTACGAATTACAGTGAAAAGTGGGATAAAATCATGACGAAAACAATCGACTTTCGCTTTCTTTCGTTGTTCAAAAGATGTTACTGTAATCGCTTTTCGAATGGTTTTCAGTTAAAAAACCCTGTTGTATTACAGTAATATTCCCTCCTAATTGACTTGAATAAATACTTGAATGGAAATATACAATATTTTTGCTGAAACTACCCGTTTCAGTGTAAAGTGTCGTAATAATGGTAAACAATATGCCTTCGGCACTCGGTGTTTCAGGCACGGCGACCCTCAGTCTATAGGACGTAGTGTTTTTAGTGAAGGTTTTGCTGTTCCATTACCCTCAAAAACTTGGGTCGACCTATAAACGAGGCATATCATAAATTAATGATTTCTTGGTCAAAAAATCAGGGTCGACCTATAAACGAGGTAGAATTATAGATGAGTATATACAGTATACAAATGCAAATATTTTATCCTGGACAATATAGGAACCAATTTGGGGAAGTTGAAGAAGATCGATTGTACCATGGCTCCAAAACTGTCCTTCAAATAATGTTGTTTATTATTTGTTTAATGTATAGCTGTACAGTATACTCCCCCCGCCCCCACAGTTCTTCCCTCCTTTACTACTGAATTATACACTTTAAAAAACATTTGTTATATTAAATAAGTGAAGCTTATTATTACTACAGTAGACTAATAGTTTCAACTTTAACTTGATGCCTTAACCATTTACTCTCTGTTCCTGTATATCACCAGTACAGTACAGTATACATCTTTAATTTATTCTGCAAGTATTTGGAGTTTTAGTAACAACATACATTTAATCACCTTATTTAACATTTTGGCAGGGCGATGATGAATATTTCATCGTCCAAAAAAGTCCTGTTAGCATTTTGATGATGAAAATATTGTCAGCAACTTCATATATTTGCAAAAAAATCTATTTATAGCTTCATTTTCATGGTCCAAGTCACAAAATGTGTGCCGTTGTCTTCCCATTCTCGCGGCACAACTGTGGTGGGCGTGAGGTGTTGGGATAACCTCCCCGTGGGCCTGCATGCATCAGTGCGTCCCAAGGATTTACAGTGAGTAGACGCTGCACACTCCTTTGCGACAGTCACTTGTATTTTCTTACATTTGTTTTAGATTTAACTTCCTTTGTATAACAGTATTGTAGTGATATCATTTGTGAAGAACTACACACTAAAAAAATTAAATACAATGGAAAATAATGACAAACAAAAAGTACATGCAATCATTTATGCTGCGATTGTCATTAGGTTGGCACATCCTGCCCAGCTCTGGGTGGTGGCAGATGCGCCTCGTGGGCCCCAGAAAGTGTTAACATCCAGAGGTCATCAGCAGGAACAAATTTTAGTCAAACAATCCTTATCTAAGACGAGGGAGCATATTGCTTTAGAGGTAAATATCTGAGCACCGTAATCTTGTGCACTGGGCATTTATTAACCTCATCATCGTCATTTTTTAGAATATTAAAACCGAAAATTCAATGACACTGTACATTAAATTAGGTTAGGATTACTTACCTGTTTAGGAACTGTGCCAATGTCTGTGAAGATGGTCTGCCAGTAGGCCCACAAGAAGAGCCCCAATAATACATGGTATGCAATAAGATAAAAACCTGAAATAAATAATATACCATCAGTCTTGATCATGAAAACTCTGGACAAACTTTACAGCACCTTATAAACTTCTGGCACAACACCTCGAAGGGACGTGATATAATACAGGGAAATATGTCCCATTTAGCAAGACACCACCAACTGAACACCTTTTCAGCAACACACATCACTCATAAAAATAAAAGTATTTCTAATGTTACATAAAAGTATGGACCTTCTGCAATAAAAAGTTAATAGACTGAAAACTAAAGCAGTACTGTACCACACTGTCTAGTTAGTTGTGTCGTGATAGTGAACACCGTCATAAATGAACCCGAGGTAATGTTTTTTACCATACATGAATTAATTTCTTTTCAGTTGGAGGAATAAAAGGAGTTATCTCTATTTGGCAAAAAGTCTCATTTGTATCTCATGTCTAAGCTGGACAAATATTCTTACAAATCCCAAACCTATTTAGAAATCAGCTTAATAATTACAAGACACTTCATGCTCACTTACATTTTTCTATGATGTTCGCAATAGTACCTGAAGAGAAGAACACAGAACTTGTAATATAGTTTGAGAAATTCATCACAAGTAACAAATTACTGATACATATAAAAGTGTCATTCACAGGTAAAACTTTTGATTTACTTGAGCAGAATGTCCTTAATATATCTTGGTTACTGTACAATTACCACACTTGTGTTATGACAGTAAAGTTGTGCACAGTTTTACCAAACAATTCACCTAACTATTCTTGGCAGAACAAAATGAATTAATGATTCAGTATATGGTGAAGCAGTTAAAATTATGACAAAAGTGAATTAATATAAATCTCAAAGTCTTGTACATTTCTACAAGTCAGTATAAGATACTAACCGATGTTGAGCTGGATCACATAGGCATAATACGACCAGACTACCACAGTCACAATAAAAATAACAGGTAGCCACTTGGCTGCTTTAAAGCATAATCTGCAAGGAGTTGTCAACACAGAGAACTTGGGTGCCATGGTTGTTGTTGCCGACATCCCTGACGGATTCTTCAGTTTGGTAAGATCTGAAAATTAGCAAATCACATAACTAATTTGAGTCTAAAATGTGACACAATGTTCAACAAAACGATATAAATTAAACTAAAACCTCTCAGATCTAGTGCCCTTTAATCCACATTTTGCCTCAAACCAGACTCCATGGATGAGTCAGGACAGCTCCTCTGGTCTAGACATTGCTAGAGTGTACTGTATCTTGATGAGCTACACTGGACATGGTGGAAACAGACCATGGGTTGCACAAACTTCTTTGTGAGGGACTTTGTAAAATCTGAGGTTTACAAAACAATATTTACAGAACAACAAAGTCTTTTTAATCTTATTGTGCAATGCACTGGACAGGTTTGAAATCTGTATAAACACCTATGGTGCTCATGTTGGACTTAAGCATAATATACTATATATACAATTGACTACTGTAATACTTCTTCATCACGAATGACCATTGTTTCAACAAAATAGGTAAGGACTTTTCGACCATTCTAAATGTTCCACTACTGTACTGTCAATCACAGCTACAGAGGGAAAGGTCTGCTGTCCTGTCTTAATTGCCAGTCTTTAGGTCTAACCAGTTTTCCTGTTATAAATCAACTTGTGATGAGCTGGTCCTTGACTGGAGAGATTAGTGACCTCTAAAACCCATAGCTCAGTATTAACTTCTTCTATATCCCTCTATGGTTCTCTTCAGGTGAAGAAAGGCCAGGGGCTGCCATCCTCAGTGGATTTCAGTTCTTGTCCTTGATCAACCATGAAAAGTCATTATAAACGAATATACAGTATACTGGCCGTACCTGATGAATCACTGTCACCTAAATGTCGAACTGCAGTGCCCCCTGTACTTGTGGGCAGTGTCACTGGGAGCTAGCAAGCACTATCTGAGAAAACAAAGCCTTGGACACTAAACAACAATCCAGAATGATTAAGATTGAGTTGGTATGAACTTAAATAGGAATCTAGAATGTGTGGACATCATAATTATGAAAAGATGAAGTATGCAAATGTTTGCAGGGAGAAGAAATAGTTACAATGGAACATTCTGAGATAAAGTTATATAGGATGGACAGGTTCAAATAGCATTATTAGAGAGAAATTTCACTTTATATATACAAGTAGTAGAAGTATGAGAGAAGTACGTAGGGTTTCTTGTAAAATAGAAGTTGGGTAATTGTGTAAATGGTAACTGGACAAAGGCAGATAAAGTTCTGTTAGTAAAGTTTGATGCTAAACCCATAACTTGGTAATAATTCAGAGTCATGCAGCAACAAATGAGACCAAAGATGAGGTTTTAGATAAGTTTTAAGGTGATTTAAAGCAGTATAAAAAAGCTGTAAAGTTTAAGGAATGCTTGATTATAATGGGTGACTTTAATTAAAAGGAAAGGAAGGAGAAAGATGTGCCAGAATTAGGACCACACGGGTTGGGTAATAGAAATGACAGTGGAGAAATGTTACTTTATTTTGTATAGAAAACAAGAGAATCATTGGATATGTGTGGTTTAAATATCCCCCATGGCATCTTAACACAGGGAAAACAAGAGTCAATAATACATTAAATGTGATGTTAAAGGATCCAAGACCTCAGTAACCCACCTAGAGGCACTGTAGGTCAGATCATGTCCCAGTAATGAGGTCCAGTAGGCAAAAATATTAGAAATTTGATAAGGAAAAAAGTTGGATAATATCAAATGAGATTTTAGGAAGATAAAAAAGATAGAGGTAGAATATGAAATTGAAACCCAGATCAAATTTTCAGTGCTGTTGGAGAGACGACTTAAAAACAAGAAATAAAACTCTAGTGGAATAAACTGAAAGAAATATTATTAAAAGTGGGATCAATAAACTTTACACAAGAAAGTTGACAAGAGGAAGGGAGGCTTACACACAGCTCCCATAAAGTTGTTATAAATGAGCATAGTTAAGATAAAAGTTGATGACAGTAAGTGACAGGAAGAGCGAAGGTGATAACAGGAGATAATAATAACTGACAGGAAATGTTACAAAAATATAAAGGAATAAAACAAAAGAGGACATACCGTATTTTATGTCATATAAGACCCACCCCCTATTTCACCAGGGAATATTTAAGGAAAAAATATATCTATGTATTTTAGTCATGTAGCCATACCAGTAGTTTTCTTAAAAATAATATATACCAGTAAATGTGAGGAATAACTAAAAATAATACCAATAAATAAGTAAAAACCCAAAATACTCCATTCCCATTTGGCTGCTGACCAACAATAGTTTCACCACACACGGGAGGCAGCCGAGACCCCTCACTCACCCTTCCTCTCAACACTCCAACAAAGTTTATTCCCTTTCATGTTTTGGACTTTATGATAATTATCTTTGGCATATTCTGTATGTAAGACTGAGTGTGCATGTAACATAGGATATAAAAAATATGTATCTACCACAAATTATGAGTTGATAAATAACTATAACTTATTGTACCTCACAGCCTAGCCTGGAGTGGTGAGAAGTGGCTATAGTGATGACTCTTGTGTTACAAATACAAAACTAATATAAAATACTGAAAAAGTAAAAAGTTTAAAAAAATTAAAGAATATTATCACAGCTGTAAAGTAACAGTTTATACAGCAAGACAAAGGCTGAAGCGGCTCACAACTCCCTGTACTGTGTCTCCTTTCCCAGCATTCATAAACCATACCAACTACCTTTCTTATGTTACTCTTCAATCATTTGTATACAAACTAAATCTACAAAAACATGCATATAAAAACATTAAGAAAAGCTAAATGAAGGTTTAACACAATCGCCATTTCCATAGACACTCTGCTTCGCCATAGCAATGCAGACCAGCGTACACTATCCTCTGCTGACTCCCTAGCAACGGCGACCCTCCCCCACACACTGAGCCCTCCTCCCACACTCTGCGCCCTCCGCTGCACTCCCCCTGCGCCCTCCCCCACACACCCCCCCTCCCACACTCTGCCCCCTCCCCCCCACACTCTCACCCCTCCCCACACTCTCACCCTCCCCCACACCTCTCGCCCTCCTCCCTCTGCCCCCTCCCCACTACACCCTCCCCCTCCTACACTGCGCCCTCCCCTCTCGCCTCCCTCCCCACTCTCGCCCTCCCACACTCTGCACCCTCCCCCACACACTGCGCCCTCCTCCCACTCCCCCACTGAGCTGCCTAATGTGTGTGCAAAGAAAAGTTTATTCCCTTTATGTATTTGACCTTATGATAATATTGTTTTTTTTGCATATTCTGTATGTAGCATTGTTAAAAAATAAATAAATAAATAAAATAAGTATATCTACCCGAAATTATGAGTACAGGAGGTCCCCGACATACGAACACCTGCCAATATGAACGAGGTTAAACTTGAAATTTACAATATTTTATTTACCTGATGACTTTTTTTTTTTACTTTCATTTACTGTATTTTGTCATTCCATTTCTTCTTTTGTGTCTTAAATTAAGTGATTTAGGCTCTGATATACAGTATGAGTATTTTAAACATTGTTCTGTAAGTACTGTATACACAGAGCACGTGTTCCGACTTACGTACATATCCAACTTAAGAACGTCCTCGGAAACGGAACCCGTTGGTAACTCAGGGACCCCCTGCACTGGTAGTCCGGTGGTAACAGTGATGAGTAACTTGGCAAGCCCAAAAAATTATTTTTAACCCTTAAGCCCCAGGCGATGTTCCAGAATGTCCGCCTATTTTCCCGCCATTCTTTTTTTATTATTATTTTTGCAAATGTTGATTTTTGTTCTTGATTTAACCCCACATGGGGGTACTGCCAGCAGCACCCTAACCCGGGGCTTAAGGGTTAAATGCTAGGTTCATACAGCAGAGGAGAGACCTACCCTCACATATAAAACAAATTACAACTTACGGAATAAGGGTTAGGGTGAGACAGCTGATGACCGTGATGGCTGGACATGAGTCATAGGCCTACTGCAAGCGTGACCTGCCACCGATGTCTAGCCATGGTGAAATAATTTTGTCTACACTGCTGGGGCGCTGTGGATTAAAATTTATAATTAGGGATTATATTCAAGACATTCATATGAATATAAAGTTTTGCATTGTGACAACAAAAATATTTATACTGTACAGTACAGTACTTAGCTTCATATATCAGGGTCTCTGTTATGTCAACATCTTTATCATTTCTGTCCCTGTTATCATGGACCGAGTGTGTGATCCTTTGTCTCACACAGAACAGTACTGTACTCTACTTCTCTTTAATATTTCTTAAGATAAAATATATATTCAACCAAGAATTACCTTAACCCCTTCACAACAGCGATGCCACTTGTAATATTTTACCTGGTTAATACCAGACAATTTTATTCAGCATACACAGAGTGATCTGATAAGAGTGCCAACTTCTATGTAGACCATAAGGGATTATAACAGTCACCAGCTACACTATAACTTTGACTGCTGGTAAAGCATAACAAGTGACAAAGCTCTGAATAGCTTCCTGCAGTGATGAGGCATTGAAGAAGCAAACACACACGTACAGCTTGTAATTCAAAACTGGAGGCAAATAAAGAACTTGAGAAAAAAGAATGGGAAATTAAAAGGACAAACCTAAACTGAGTGAGCAAGAAAATGAAGACTTAGTCCTAATCCAAAAGTTAACAGTACACTTTTAAGGGGAATAGCCCACCTGGGCACAGGTCATTGACCAACAACGAGGCCTAGGGGTAAAAAATAAGAGTAAAAAGAAATAAAAAATAATAAAGAAAAAGATTATATTAATCTACACCACTAAGATGCCGAAACACCAGCTTTTTGAAGAGAGACAGATTGTATGGGTATGGAATCACAAAAGACGGCAGAGCATTCCACAGTCTGGCTGTGTGAGGAAAGAAGGCTGTACTATAACGGGTTATTCTAGTGTGACCGACATCCACAGAGAAACGGTGGGCAAGACGAGTGTTACGAACCCACGGTCTTGCCGGCGGTACACAGGATGTTGTCTTCATATTCAACTGAAATCAAGTCCTTTTAAAACATGGAGGTCCAATGTGCCCCAAACTTAATGACAACCCAACCTTCATGCTAACTTTAGCTATTTTTAAGTCAAATTACTTTAGTTTATAAATGAAAATCCCGAAGGTACCTTAGGGCTTTCCGTACCAGACCTGATCATTTTAATAAAATTAAAAAAAAACAAAAAAAAAACATGAACTTGTTGAATTAAACTAAAAACTAAAGCGTTTCAGTTATCTCACTCACAGGATCACTTACAATACAGGATTTATATATTATTAATAATATTAAAAATAGACCAATAAACATCAAGGATTTACAGCAATTCTCACATCATTACACGTAGTTTGGTGACTGTACCTTAGAGCAGTGTTTCATACCTAAACACTGTAAACTGTTCACCAATGTAAATTATTTAGTGAAGATAAAATATACAGTACCAGACGGTGGTTGTGGTATTTTTAAGCTGCAGTTTAAGTTTGATGACTAAAAGCATATATTAAGTACACTATTCGTGCCTGAACTAATGAGTTTCCATAAGTGGTAATAGAAATTCAGGAGACAGCATATGTGAGAATGGTTGATGAGAAGAACCTGAGTAAGATGGAGGGAAAAACGTACAGAGACCTTCAGGTAAAACTTTTACTGCATTGGGAAGTATTTGAGAGGGGCAGTAAGAGTGCAATGCAACTCTTTATTCATACGGTCCGTCCATATTGCGACTTGGGAAACATTTTAAATATTTAGACTGTGTAATGTGTATGTATAATTGTCTTTTTAATTATACTGTAGTTGTACAGTAAACCCTCGCTTTACGCGGTTTCACTTTACGCGTTTCCACGTTTACGCGGTACCCTGCCGAACACGGAATGCTCACTTTCCGCGGTGTGTGTACCCTTTTACGCGGTGAGCGGCTGGCGGTCCTCTCGCGCCACGCCATTTTTGGATCTAAACCTCCCGCCATCCGCCATGTTGTGTAAGTGGTGCGAGTAGGTTGCGCAGTGTATGTCTTTGTTGCGTTATCGGTGACGTCATATGATGTATCAGACTGTGATTGGGCAAAGCATCCTTACCTCCCTCCCCGCTAGCTGTGATTGGTTTAATGTACTATGACGTGCCCCGCTGCGGGAGCGTTCAAGCTCCTTGACTTACCCACGTCAGTTACACCCCTCCCGGCTACACCGTGCATATCGGTATACATTGTTCCATAAGAATGGCTTCCACCGGACCACCACCACCACAAAGAAACCTTGCATTACCTGGACCCAACCGCCCTAAGCCAAAGATGACACGTCATTCCTTAAGCTACGTAATTAAATATAAGATCATACAAGAGTTGGAGAAAGGAACAAGACAGGTTGATCTCGCGCGCCAGCATGGTGTTTACGAGTCTACGATCAGGACAATTAAGAAGGATGCAGCCAAGATAAAGGAGCACATGAACATCACAAAGTCTACAGGTGCTTCTATGATCAAGTATTGCCACAACCAGGTGCTTCTCAAGACGGAAAAATTACTTGTGAGCTACTTGGTTCGTCAGGCACGACGGAACATGGCGGTGGACACGCGCTCAGTTAAGGAGTACGCACGTGAACTGTATGCTGCAGTGTCACGAAAGATGGGAATTGCAGAGCCCAAACCCTTTAATGCTTCCTCTGGGTGGTTACATAGGTTTAAGAAGAGGAACAAGATCACCAATATCAACATTGGTGGTGAAGAAGCTAGTGCTGACTGTGTTGCAGCTAGGGAATTTCCTCCGTTTTTACGTGAGATTATGGAGGAAGGACAGTACACCGACGACCAGGTGTTTAACATGGACGAATCTGGTCTTTTTTGGAAAAAGCTACCTTCCAAGACCTTCGTTGTGAAGAATGCCAGCAAGTGTCGAGGCCGGAAGTTGCAGAAGGAGCGCATCACCGTCCTGTTTACCACCAATGACTCCGGTACCTGTAAGCTCAAGTTATCGGTGATCCACACAGCACGCAAGCCGCACGCCTACAAGAGCATGGACATGACCAAGCTAAATGTCCACTGGCTGACCGCTCGTAAGGCGTGGATGTTCTCTACTCTGTCCCTCTCCTGGTTTGATGACTGTTTCGTTCCTGACGTTAAGAAATTCTGTGAGCAACACAATGTTCCATTCAAGATTTTGTTGCTGCTTGACAACGCACCAGGACACTCACTCCTACTGTTAGATCGTCACCCCAACGTAAAAGTGGTCTTCCTTCCTCCCAACACTAGGTCTATAATACAGCCCATGGACCAAGAATTGATCTGTAATGTAAAAGCTGCATTCTCTGCCAAGAAATTCAAGCTCCTGAACGACTACACCAACACCAAGGAAGAGTTGCGTAACCTGAGTGACACCAACACCGATAGCAAGAGCAAAGACGACGAGGATCAACAGTTGGCAGAGCAAGAAGTACTTGTGAGACAATGTTGGAGAACATTCAACGTCAAGAAAGCTGTGGACTTCTTGGTGGAGGCATGGGATCAGCTGTCCGTAGATCTGTTCGTCACGCATGGAGACATGTGTTGCAAGGCATTCCGGGTGTTAGGCAGAGTAAATCTGTGACTGGTGAGGTTCAGACTGTTGCAGTAGCAGTGGACCTTGCCAGAGAAGCTGCGCAGAGTGTTACAGCTGCAGGCTTCTCCGAGACCACCAACGACGACATCCTGGAGGTGATAAGGGATCCTGATGTGACTACCGACGAGATGGTAGATGATGATGACGTCAGTGAAGAGGGAGGTGGTGCGTCATCCCAAGAAGAACGCCAGTTATCCCATAGTAATGTAAGGGGTGCCATCGAGTGTATTGGGAAAGTCAAGCTCCTCCTTTCCGACGACCCTGACGCTAACAGGTATGAAATCTTCACTACCCAGCTGTGCAGACTATGGAGCCCTACATCAAGGTTTATCACAACAACATAAACACCAGCCGTCAGCAAAGCATGACCGAGTTCTTCGCCCGCAACCCACCACAGCCAGCCCAAGCCAGTGATAGTGACAGAGGTAGAGACAGTGATGATGACTTTGAGGGATTTGTCAGGGAGGCACTAATAAGTGTGGATGACAGCGATGAAGACTCACCTGAGGGCCAGTAGCCTGCCCTCTGCCTCGGAACCAGCCTCCATTCCCCTACGCCGACCCATCTCTTCTCCTAACGTAAGTGTTAAACCCAACCTTGTTTTTTTCTAACCTAACCTACAGTATATTTTTCTCTTATTGATCGTTCCCTTCTATGAATACCATCATAAAGTTAAGATGTTATTTTTAGTAAAACGTACATATTGTGTCGGGAAAAAGTGGAGTTTGGGGGTCGGCCCGGTTTCTATTTCAATTAATCCCAGATGTTATGTTGTTCACTTTACGCGGGCCGCCGTGGGTTCAATTAACCGCGTAAAGTGAGGGTTCACTGTATATATTCTGACAGCAGTAATAGGTACTTAAATACCGGTAATAAAGATTTTTCATATTCAGATCGTGTAATACGGTATGTATACAATATTTATTAGGGTATTATTATCGATTTGGTCACCTGGGGAATCTTAAGAATTTAGGTTAGGTTAGATTAGATTGGCAAGGTTAGGTTAGTTAGGGTAGGTTAGATTAGTTAGGGTAGGTAAGATCAAAATCATTCTAAACACATCAAAAACTGTCGTAAAAACAGATGAACGACCGAAACGATAATTTTACCATTATTAGTTTTAGCGGATAAATTCTGTCAAAGTTATACTGTACAACGTGGCTAAAATAAAACAGTTGTGTGAATAAAATGTCCTGGTGTTTCCTGCCTTTCCATTCTCTTCATAATCTATCAAAATATACTAATTCTTTCCGTGTGTGTGACAATGCCATAAATAATCGGCTAATATGCTACATACTTGTGACCGTCAGCAGTTTGGTAATTATGGAGGGGCGTTTTCAGACAGTTTTGTACGCTGATTACTTTCACTTCTATTCATTTTGTGGAAATTTTTAGTTTTCTAGATATAGGTGAGTTAAGATACATATAGGTTAGGTTAGCACATGATTTCAGCCATTCTTTTATTATTACACAACATAATACAGTATCATATACCTTTAATAAAATCAGTGACAACTAAATAATCATCGGCAAAATTATCGTTTCAGTCGTCCATCTATCTGGAAGTTGATATAAACCATGGGAAAACCTAACCTAACCTACCCAACCCTAACCCAACCCAACCCAACCCAACCCAACCCAACCCAACCCAACCCAACCCAACCCAACCCAACCCAACCCAACCCAACCTAACCTAACCTAACCTAACCTAACCTAACCTAACCTAACCTAACCTAACCTAACCTAACCTAACCTAACCTAAAATTCACTGGATGACTGAAACGATAATAATACCTAATCATCTTACAGTGTATGGACCAAATTCACCAAAGTCAGGGAAGGTAAATTAGGAACATCATTGTCTCGAACACTCTGGGTAACTTCAAATATAGGTTGGGCCGATATACGAGGGAAGGAGGCTGGGTGTAAATGGGACTGCTCAGTATGGGGTCAACAGGCCAGCTGCAGTTTCCTCCATTCTTATATTCTTCACTAACAATAGGCTGAAAATACCACGGCCCAAAATTACCGTAAGTCAAATTTCCATAAAGTCGGTAGCTCCCATGAGTATGACATCTAAATTATTACTAAACTATATCAATGTCACCCTGTTATTATCAGTTACCAGCTGTAAATAAAAAATATGGCCCATTTTTTCAGAGTCTTGCACAACTCTGGCCACTAGAGGCACAAATTGGCAATTCTATTATACATAAAAAAACTCAACTTATTCAGTTTTTCACACCTAACCAAACAACCCCAGACTGTGACATGTTAATCCACACCTTTTAACAATAACGTGTAGAACAGGAGCCTAAGACTGTCACACCAGGACCAGAAGTACATGAAGAGATAAGATGAACTGCACGGTAATAAAACAAACCTAGTCCTTAATAATACATCTAGAGAAAAACAATTCATTTAACGTTAACAGAGGTGGAAATTTAGGTTTATAATTACATAATATTGTGAACAAACTCCAATATCCCTGTAGACCTCCTCCCTGGTGACTCACCCCTCACCTAACCCTCCCCACACCTCCACCACACTCACCTAGTTTCTTCCTCACTCTCTCTGCCACAATTCTCTCCACTGTTGCAGAATGATTGACAAATTTCCGGCAACAAGTTAACAAATGATAATAGAAAAACAAATCCATATATAAGTTACAAGGGTTACATTGACCATAACTTTGAACTTGTTTTATGAATAATCTGAGTCTGTAGTAAGTAGTGTTGGATCATTTATACAGCGTTAACTAGTAAGGTATTTTGTTACTATGGGATAACTTTATCAATCTCTTTCTATCACCAATTACTATATTATAAGATGCATCATATATAGATTACTAATGAAACTCATCTCCTTAATACCATATATCCCGCCTCTGTATAATTTATATATTAAATAATTACAAACTCAAGTAAAAACAAATTATTTTACCGTGAGAAACAAAAGTAGCTGCTGTGAATGTCTCTATAATAAGAGTAACCTATTTTAAGTTCACACAAAGCAGAGATAAAGTTCTACCATATATAATTAATATCTGTGAAGCTTTTGTGTCTAGATTTTATATACATAATTTAATTTACTCTACTACCAATTGATTATAAGTCTATTATGAGCATTAATAAGGTAGTTTGCACAAATATGGACAAAATTATAATTACTGATTACCTGGTATTAATAAATCAAGCCTGTTGATAAGCATTTAACTTCTAATAGAAAAATAAAACATCAAAATTAATATGTAAAAAAAAAACTTATTTACTGCTTCTTAAATATATAGCTACACTACTTTTGGTTATTAATTGGTGTTAGGTGACAGACACAAGGAAATTGGCACATGTCATCTGGTGGTTACTTAAGCATATCCTGGCTCAGGTCCAAAGTCCAAGTTCACTTATTTATTCATTAAGTATGGCATACGAGTTCACTACAGGTACTATACAAAATATAGTATACAGAATTTGGATTCCATGAAGGGAAGGCCTTTTGGGATCCTTTTGTGAGGTCGGGATAATTAACCAGTTTTCACAAATAATTACACCTTCCTTTGATGCCAAGTATAACGGGTTAGTGTAACTCAGCTGTTTGTACTTAAAAGTGAAAGTGAATTCTGAAGGACAAGTGTGGATGTAGCAGACAGTAACTTAAGGCAGTATGATGTCCGGCACTACACTGGACAACCTCACTTTCCCAACCTAACAAAGACATGACAAAAGCAAAAAATTACAGTAATAAAATACAAAATTATCCATAAACAGAAACGGATTCAACTAGATATTTACCAAACGCCGTCATGTACACGTATTGGTAACTAGAGCTACTGTTTGGATAAATATTGTGTGTTAATGGGTTAATCCTCATTGTCAGCTCTCTTAGGGTTCAATGGACTCTACTAAGTGGAATGAACAGCGATTTTTTTTATTCGTCTGAGGACTATAAATTGTAACAAACGGTGAAATACTATGAGCTCTGAAATAAACAATGGGTCATTTGATAGTCCACGTCATACCTGTTACTATGGAGTGTGTAACTGGGGTCAATTGGCTCCCAGAAGACTGGATAAGGTGTAGTGGGACCAGCTCATATGCCGCGGGGTGTGTGGTGCATTTTTTGATCATTCTTTACTTTTTGATGTTTTTGGAGTGAATTTTATAAGACAATAGAGCTTATAGAAGATAATTTATATGGGTATTGGGTATTAGGTGCAGGAAAATAAAATTGACGGGGTTTTGAATAACTTGTTTATTGGAGATTTTTCAGGGTGCCGTTAATGGGGGCACTTAAAGTGTTTCATGTTATAAATGAGAGATACTTACTAGTGTTGTCTTTTCTTTTCAGGTTATTATAATGTTTCCAGGCAGATATGGCAAGAATACAAGCTTTTTTGCAGATTGAAATAGACAGTATATTATTTGGTCATAAGGTAGAGCTCAGCGACCCCCTCTGAGTTGCTAGGGCAGGAGGACCCAGGAAACCGTTGTAAGAGATGGTGAACAGTTACAAATACTGGAACCGGATGACGAGGATGTGGTAGAATTTGTAGAAAATTAAGATGAAACTGATGTTAGTGAGAGTGAGAAGGTACCCACGAGGGATACCACCCAAGACCCAAACTCCTCTACCAGCCGCAACACCATCATGTTCTACCCGCAACACCATCATGTTCTACCCGCAACACCATCATGTTCTACCTGCAACACCATCATGTTCTACCCGCAACAACTACCACCACGCAAGAAACGCCGTACACAGCAGGGGCGAGGAGAGTCAGGAGGATGACCCAGCCACATCCCTCACCTCACCTACCAGACTGCACCACCACGTCACAACAGCAGTTGCCAAGCGGGGAACAGGAGACATTAATGAAGAGGATTACATCATGAAATTCAATGAAAACCGGTACAGTCAGCCAATGATGCACCGACCCCACCCTGGGTCTCGTGCTGGCAATACTTGGTAAAGGAAAGCTGTATGTAAAGGTGATTGTGATTGGTGGATCTGTTTTCGGTTGTATCACTGTCAGGATAATTATTAAACAAACCAAAGGTAAAATTTTTATAATAATAAACTATTCATTGTTATTTAAGGTCATGAGAAGTTTCTAAATGTTCGTATATTTGCTTAAATAATGAAGACAAATATATTAATGAATTGGCAACCCAACTACAACCACAGCTGTCCACAAGATTCTCACATAACATTTTCTTCATATTATACTACAGAACTTGTCAAGCCATACTATTACAGCCAGAGAACAGTTACAATGGATAACTGGTTTACATCGTATCTACTCACCTGTGAACTGAAATCCAAAGATATGAGACAAGTGGGCACCATCAAGAGGAAGAGTTGTATCCCCACTGAAATGTTTGATGAGAAGAATCATAAGGTGAAGACTTCAGCATTCCTGTACGATCATAGAAGCACCTTGGTCTCGTACTACCCCAGAAAGAATAAGGGAGACTGTAGTGGATACCTCCACCACAAACGCTGTTTGTCGCTGAGTAGCCGACCCCGCGAATTCCCCAGTGTATACCTCGTGGTCTAGGTCAACCAGCGCCGCCTCACATAAGAACATAAGAATGGAGGAAACTGCAGCGGGCCTATTGGCCCATACTGGGCAGTCCCGTTTACACCCAACCCCTATTGCTCATATAAGCATCCAACCTATGTTTGAAGCTATTCAGCGTATTCGAGTTAATGATGATATTTGGTAACTTGTTCCATTCATCCACTACTCTGTTTCCAAACCAGTGTTTACCTATTTCACGCCTAAATCTAAATTTGTCCAATTTAAAACCATTGTTACGAGTTCGCTCCTGGTTGGATAGTTTGAGTACCTTTGTAATGTCCCCTTTGTTTGGCCCTGACTTCCACTTATACACCTCTATCAGGTCGCCCCTCGCTCTACGTCTCTCGAGGGAGTGCAAATTAAGATGCTTTAATCTGTCTCTGTACTCAAGGTTCCTAATGCCCTGGATTAGTCTTGTCATTCTCCTCCGAATTCTTTCCAAGGATTCTATATCCATTCTGTAATACGGTGACCAGAACTGAACTGCGTAATCCAGGTGTGGTCTCACAAGAGCAAGATACAGTTTTAGGATGACCTCGCTAGTCTTGTAACTAACACTCCTTTGTATGAACCCAAGTACTTTATTAGCCTTGTTACGAGCAAAAACAAGAACCTAACAAGGAGGCTACAAGGGACCATACAGCATGGAGAGATGCCATCAGGCAATTGTGGCTAACCCACAAAAGTGAGGACAAATGCCAAGAAAATATTAATACCCAGAATATAAATCTTGTTTCTCATTATATACAGAATGTGCTTAAAAATGTCTTGGATGTCATTGTAAGTATGTTCTGGGACAGTTTTTTTATTTACAGGATCAGTACCCAGGAACTTTACCTCTGATTCATGGAAGTCAATGGTTGTACTGTGCTACTGTATCATTAACAACACCTGAAGATAAGGAGATGTGTCTGATGCAGGAAAGGTAAAAAATAAATACAGTAAAGTAGTCATTAAAATTTATCCTTTTAATTTATTTATAAATTGAGCCCTTTACATAAAATTAACTCTACTATAGTACTTTAAGTGTCAGTGATAACAGTTAAAGTGTCCACAGTTTGTAGTGTGCCACAGCCGTTATTGGTGAGGAAAATATGTGATGAATCCTCAGGTTTTCTTTCTTCTTTGACACCTGAAACATAAACACCAAATTTAAGTGTAACATTATTTGAAGGTAAGTATTGTACAGGGTAATGTATTTGAATATGGATGTACTGTACTATATAGTTTTCTAAAGAATATCCTGACAATTACCATGTTCTTGAATGTTAAGCTGAAAACTGCTGGGTGTCTGGTCCCGTCCTAGTGCCAACAGGTCTGTCTCGTCCTCAAGCAATGGTGAGCTGAGTGAGACTGTGTCCTCCATGTTGTAGTGTTTGGTGGGGTCACTCATGGTGGGTTCAGGAGATGACATATAATCAGTCTGCTGGAACAAAATGTAGTTTTGTACTGTACTGTATGTTCATTTTAACGGATAACTTTTGACAAATTATAAATTACAGCTACAGGTATTCCCCCAATTTATGAAAGGATTCCATTCCTGAAAAACATTTTGGAACTTATTTGTAAACTGAAGCAAATTTTCCCATAGACTCCCATTATAAATACTGAGAGAGAGAGAGAGAGAGATTCATTTGTCACTTTGGGATTTTTGCTCATTAAACCAAATACCTGTATGGGGAAAAAAAATCCTAACCTAGATTTCTTGTAAATGAAAGCTTCTTAAAAGTTTAAGGGTAATGGAAGAAGTAGAGCAACTGTGTAACAAATGTGGCAGATGTAGAGAGAGGAAGATAGAGTAATGTATTAAATTACCTGAGAATCTTTCTGCTCTTGACTAGTCTGTACATTACCATCTTGACTCTTCTCACTGGTTTCAACTTTGACCATTTTACTGTTGCCTTGAACAAGACGAATCCCGACATCACCAGTTTTCATCTCCATGGCAGCCTGCTGAGCACATGGCACTGGAAAAAATTATGACAGTACAGTAAGATACAAACAAGTTATGAAAATCTTGCTTCTAAGGAATTGAGTATAGAGGTAGTGGGGCCTCCATGGATGGATGGGAGGTTAATCTGCCCCCCCCCATAGCTCAGGGATTAGTTAGTGCCTACCTCTGTGTCTCCTCTCAGTAGAGTATGTTATGGCTATAAAGTACATTATCATTTATATTCTACATACTGTATTCAGTTCTCTTATACAGATTTTCTATTTTCACTTTAATACCTGGACCTTAGTTTGGTTCTCTCCTTTCTTAGTGATACTGTAATGTAAATATGTATGTTAGTGTGTGAACAGGCAACTAAAGACTTTAATGCGTGTACACAATATGTACACTGTACAGTATGTACATGCATTTACTTGTGTGTAACATTTATATAAACAAATTCTAAGGACTTACTTTTGTGTTTTAGATGTCTACTCAGGGTGCCATGTTCCTTGAAGCAACGACCACAGTACTGACAGTGGAATGGAGCTTCACCAGTGTGTATCCTTAGGTGGCGTATCAGGGAAGCTTTGGTAACAAACGCTTTCTGACACTCCATGCACATGAAGGCTTTAATCTTGTCATGGGTTCGTTCATGCATATTTCTGGCACTCTGGGAAATTTAGTGAGTGAGTAAAGATCATTGAAAAGTTTATATATATATATATATATATATATATATATATATATATATATATTGTACAGGGTATGTGTTTGGACACACAAATGAGGTGATTTGTTCACAACTCACAGTACAGTAATTAGTATCTACACCAGACATTTTAATTCTCCCACATCATCACGGGGTGGTTAAAGTCAAAAGCAATACAGGCTCTCCCTTCATTATCTCTAATAAACATGTTCTGTTATACTGTCGTCTCCCTTCCACAACAAAGGATCAGGATATCCCTCTGGTTTATCCCTTTCACTTCACACAACACATCTTCCCCCATAAACTACTGTACACTGTATCATTACCTACATATTTTACACTGATCAACCATAAATAAATCAGAACTTTTGTAGTCATATTGAACTAAACTTACTTTAGTTTTATATAAATTGTTGCAATATCTGCAGGGTATGGTCTTGGTGGTGGTGTGTGTGCGTAGATGGACTCTGGCATGACTCAGGAGCTTGAATGCTTTGTTACACAGTTGACACATAAACTGACGCACATTCGAGTGGGAGGTCAGGTGGCGACAGAGAGCTTCTCGTTTGGCAAAGGACTTTCCACATTCATTGCAGTTTCCTCCAAGCTCATCTGTTTGGAACATGTTGAATTAAGAATAATAACAAAATATTGAGGTAGAAATAATGATTAAAAGCAGTGAAGATAACTGTACACTAACTGATGTTGGTATACAAAGAAGCACAATCTTATATAATGCAGTACTGGAGTCTGTCAGTACTGTAGGTAAGGGTAATGTATGCCAGGGAATGCACTGAGTCAGTATAGTGACCAGAGTGTTTATGGGTCATTACTGTCTTACCAAGATGTATGTTCAGGTGCAGTGCAAGGGTTGGCCGTCTGGAATAGTTCTTGCAGCAAACAGGACACGTGAAAGATTTCCTGATGATATCTGATGTTAAATGTGGTGGCTTGATGTCCCCAAGGTCTTCACTGTTCATACCTGAAAAACACTAATTGAGTATCAATGATATTAAAATGAACAGGATACAGAAAATAAGAAATAGGAAAACAAGGAGGATAAGTGGAAAGTGTCACATAAACTTTGCTAAGGTGGTGAGAGAATGGGAAGTGAGAGATGAGTAAGACAATTCAGGGTTGGCTGGAAGGAATATTTCTGTAGATTATTGACTCAATCGTGGGTATTAGAGTGATAGTCTCATACTAGGCACTTGTTCTTCTGAATAAAATGGGCTATGGACTCAACTACTCCTTGTTTAAATAGGCAGCCTACATTTCATTAAACTTTACATGAACATACAAGAATAGATTCACGGATTGTCATTTTAATTATGAAGTGTGCACAGTACTATAATTCTGAATGGCTTTAACTTACTATGATAGAGTTTAATGTACAGACTTAAGATTTCATCGCTTAGCCATTAAAAAACCCCACGACAGTTACCTTCCATATTAGCGGCACAAAAGTGACAGCATCAAAATTGTTTTTATTTTAAACATTATTATTGGATAGGATAAACTGAAAGTATGAGAGAAAAAATAAAGATGACAAACCTTGAAACACAGGCAAAAAAGTATACTGAAATGATATGGATAAATGAAATACATGAAGTGCCTTATGGCATGCATGTAGGTCAGACTCTACTGAATAAGAGATGGAATTAATAAGTGAGTTATTAATGTCCCGAAATTACTCAGTGGAGTAAACCATAGGAATGACCCAATGACTGTGGAGAGAGAAGAAGAACAGTAAGATGATGGAGCTGTGCCTCTTACCTTTACTCTCTGGTGTCAGCAGACTACCATCAAGGTCCTCCTCCTCTGTATATGAACTGGAGATGAGTGGCATCTCAACCTTACATGGAACCAATGTGTGTGTAGTGTCTGGCAAGGCGCTGTGGTGGGACAAATTATCCTCCTGTTTCACTACTCCTTGAGTTCCTGTAACACAATGAATCAAATAATTACTAAGTACTGTACCTTTCATAGTGTATACTGTTATAGATGTGGACTTAACCTACTCATGTGGCTTTCTGAGCTTTGAAAGTAAGAAAGCATAATGAAACAAATGAGTGAACTGATATAATACAGTTTTATGCCAGTGGGAAAACTATATTTTGCTGGTAAATGGGTGACACCAGGTTTTGTTGGGCAATGAAATGACATACTCTGTCCTTATGCAGTTGTTGGCACAGCTATACTGTACAGTATTTAGTTAACTTTAGTTAAAGATTGTTAGGTGAACTTTGTTAATTAAGTGGCATGGTACAGTATGGAGTTATAAGCACAGGAAAAAAATTCTTGTGCTATAAATCAAGTAACTGATCATAATCACCATCACTGTAAATTCATCAAGCTTGTGTGCATTAGTTGTGATTACCTGATGGCATGGTGTCCCAGCTGTCATCAGGTAAATTTGAGGCAAGTTTTATGACTGGACGCTCTTCCTATTGCTAACCAACTTCTACAGAGTGGGAACTAGGCATTATATATAGGACTGTTTATATCAGGGCAGCTAAAACAAACTAAAAAACTTCCATACATTAATTTACTAACCTACAAGTCTGGTAGTCACATCACTTTTGGTCTCGTCTGTTTTCCATGGAGTGAGACCATTTGGTAGTTCATCGTCAGAAAGGTGGCCACAAATTTCTTGCTTTAAGATGGTGTTCAATTTCATATCATGCAATAAGGGCTGAAAAAGATGACCTAATTATGCACAAGAATGGTTAAGAAAAACAAAAATTGCAAGTCGACGATTCATTAGCACCTGTCATTATTTAGTTAAGACATGGAACATTAACCTTTTGTTCTGGACCATCAATACTGTACAGCCAGTAGTTTGGTACAGTAGTGTTCAGGCTGTCCCCGACTTATGAACGTGATCCCAATACAGTATAGTACAGTACATTCACCACAAACATCTGTAATTAAAATTTAATTTTTTTATTACTTTATATTGTTTAACAGCACTTTATTTACAGTGCAGTATATACAAGTATCTACATTATTTGTTATGTATGAGATATTAATGTTGTTTTGTATGTTCAGGGTTGTGTTTTAATCTAACCTAACTATGGAATTAACACTGTTCTGACTTATGAACCGAGTCCAGGAACATAACCCATTCATAACTCGGGGACTCCCTGTACTGTATTACTGACAAGATGGGATGGCTGAAAGTAGTCTTGCTTGTGAGAGATAACCAGTGATGTAAGTCTTGAGACATATTTTTTGGATGCTTAGGTCTTGGACATCACTTACCTTCTTCTCAACATAAGGAGAGTCTAGAGGACGGGTCTTGCCATACAGAGGCATCTGAGAATCTTTCTTGTTTACACAGGACACCCGAGACTGTTGGTGACGAGCTAAGGAACCTGACTCTCGGAAACACCGACCACAATCTTGACAGGTGAACGGCCTCTCCCCTGTTTCAGGGAATTTTTTTTACCAATTACATATCCTTTGAGACCCAGGAATGAAGGTGAAAATAATCTATTCATTAAATTTATTCACTTTTAGATTTCAGTCAACCTTAGGCCCCGAGGTATGGGGTTACAACAACCTACAGTATAGTGTGTTGCCAATATTAATTTGTGATATTCTATTGTAGATTGAAAAATAATTATTATACAATATTTTTACCAACACTTCTGTATAAATGGATTACCTGTGTGTCGTCTTTCATGTCTTGTCAATGAACCTTTTGTCTTAAATGACTGGGAGCATCCTTCATAGTTGCATTGGAAAGGTCGCCCTTGGTTGTGTACAACTGCAATATGTGTACGTAATATTTTTCCCTGGAATACAACAACATAATAAATACACAAAACTATTCTATAAGTTGTTTCTAAGCTAAACTATAATATCATTCTTCAGGTACGAAAAAGGGGGGAGGCAGAATATAGACAGACCCAATTTATGATTTGGTTCCTGAAAAACCTTGTAAATTGATGCTTTTTCTTACTGATGCCCATTACAGAGACTGTACTGTACCTTCTCTAAAGAAATATTCTCATATACAGGTCGCCCTTAAGTTAGCGCATCGTCTTATGTTCCCACACAAACGCTGAGGTCACAGACACCTTGAGCTACGACCAATGATTTAAGGAGTCTTGATTCCTGCCGGGTGTGCTCTTCGCTTAATATTGATTTTATTTTGCTTTAACAATGCCTCAAACAAACACACAAGTTTAACTTCTTTACTACCAGATACTAATTTAAATATTTAATTTGCTAATGTCAGACAATTTTATTCAGAACAGAGCAGCCCCTTGTACCCAAGTCTCAAAGACTAGTGAGTCAAATGAATACTGTAAGGGATTAACCAGTCCTCCAATCTGCATTTAGTGTATTTCAGCACATATATGGTTTTATAGGCTAGTTTGTCAACCTAGTCACCATTTTTTTTAACAAGGATTAGCCCACCAGGGCACAGGTCACTGACCTACATCGGGGCCTGGGGGACGAAAATATAATAAAAACAAAAATAATAATAATAATTAAAAGAAATAATAATAATAAAAAAATAATAATAAAGAGCCACAAATACAAAAATGAAAAACAATATATGTATGTTGTGTTGTCAAAGTACGAGAAACAATTGAGACCCTGCAGTTGTGTGTAAATGAGGCAGAAAGTCAGATCATCAACCTGGGACTTGGTCACATATGGCAGCAGGGTCTACCCATTAGACAACACATTATGCTTCCAATATCTTCCCAGGCGGTAGTACAGATATCTATAACACTGTGTTTACAATTTAGTTCTTAGTTAAAAATCAACAACTTACAAAAAAATTTTTGGAATGTATCTCATTTGTATCCTGGGGATTCATTAACCACTTGTGTGAGGTGTCGTCTCTGAGCTGAATATAATCGTTTGGTATTTGTATACAGATTTAAAATGACTGTTTTAGAGAAATTGGTATTATTTGTTTTTGTCATGAACACATTTTCAATTTATAGCATTAAGGGAATAGACATTAAAGATCCAAGATATGACAATTTAACTTATGACACTATATTGGATATCTCTGTCAGGACTTACCCTGAGCTTTACTGTATTTAATTCAATGTATTGACCATGACTAACACTCTGGGTCACTTACAGCGAGGATGGTGAAGTCCAGTGCCTAGTTTCCTGTCAATAATATTAAGACACTAAGCTGACGTAACTGAAGCATATTTGTTGAGAAAAACAGTCCTGCAATTTGCACATTATTAAGTATACACAAGAGGCATTGTAATAACCATTATACTTGCACAGCGAATCAAATGGCTGATTTATCATCAAACACTAGTTACAGTACAGTACCTTGTATGTGGTAGCTACAGTTCTGTATGTAGTTTAGGGAAATGAGAGAAAAAAGTGGAGCAAAAAACTATCAATTTGACAAAATTTTTAAGAACCTGTAACGAGAACATAGCCTCAAGTTTTGTAAGGAATACAGCAGAATGAAGGCAAAGTGTTTAAGTGGCTGACATAAGTGAGGTTTGATTCCAAGTTTATGACCAAACAGTCAGTTACAGAAACTAGATCAGGATCACAATTTTATAACCTTTGTGTGGATGAGTGAGTGGCTGTTTATACAATCAGCAGTGATCTGCTGAAGAATAACCGATAAGTTACAGGACAAGGGCCATCAACTTACCGTTTTGAATATCTGACCACATAAGTGGCAATTAAGTTTGTTCCATTTTGTATCTGGGTATTGAAGAGCATCGGTCAGCTGCTCAAGATGAGTCTTGGATTTAACAGCAACTATGTGCCTGACAGGAGTCTTGGAGTCTACACTTGTTTCTTTCTTTACACAAATGTCTTCTGTTTCTGCCTCACTTACAGATGACTGCTGGTCCATTACCCCAGCAACTGTATGCTGAAAGAAAATATTATTTATTATGGAAAAAGGTCTGATGCTTTAAGAGGCATAAAAAAATGAATAAATAATACAATGCCAAAGAAAGATGTAGGACTGAGGTTGTGATAGTCACCTCTGAGGATTGACAAGAATATAAACATAAGTGAACTGAGATCCTCAAGAGGTAAGTGTGCATCTTCCTCACCAAACAATCAGTGGTGTGTTAAGAAAAGTCAAACCTTTCACAGTATTAGTAGGCTGAGATGAGGCAGAGGCAACATAAGTCCTTCAGTTTAACAGTCAGGAATTTAAAACAAACTTTGAAGTCACCCCTACTCTCAGTTCAAAAGAGAATCAAGCCAACCTAGGTGCTACTTCTTTAAGTATGAGTCTATAGGTTGGAAACTTACTAAAATGGGTTCAAGGGGAGAGATGAGCAGGGTCAGGGTCACAGTCTTGTTCCTGCATCCTCACACTTTCCTTCCCTGGAACCTTGCACCAATAATTTCACATGTTTATTCTCAACTCTGCATTCCTGTTTCCTCCTCTCTTACTGGTACAAATTTCAAGAATTTTCTCCATGTACTCATTTTTGCAATAAAGGAAAATGCACATAAAAAATCATGTTCTGTAGTGTACTTATAAAACATGGAAGTAGATACTTAAATCAATTCTATCCCTGATGGAATAACTTATATAATATTTACATACCTGGAGTTTATAATGGTTGAAGACAGCTGCTTGTCTGGAAAAAGTGAGACCACACAGTTGACACTTCCATCTTGTCTTGTTGCCAGTTTCAATTTCCGATGCTTGTACAACTTTCATATCCACATCATTTATCTCATTTCCTTCCTAAAAAATAAGTTTATAAATAAAATATAAATCAAGGCAAAAGATAAAGAAATAACAGTGAGTACATTACTAGAGTTTATGATCAATCTACTTCTCAAAATTATCTCATTAAATTCTATCACTGAAACACCACCAACAATTTTAAACAGTATAATCTAGGACTAAGCAAGTAATTCTGTATTAACTAAACAACATGATTAAATTCCAATCTTATCACAGCAGCTAGACCACTTCATGTAGTTATCTTCCCCAGACATATTTCTTTCTTAAACTATAAAGACAAAATACATCAGGTGTTTCTCTTGACGCATCATTAAACTTACTTTACACATTATAGGGACCAGGTCCTTGACATGTTTTATGTCCACCTCCTCTGCTTCTGCTCTCTTTTTAGAAAATCTGAAAGACAGTGTAACAGTAGAACCAAATAAGTTCCCTCCATAAAAAGTTAACAAGATGATGAACCAGATAACAGGGATGATCAGTGAATATAAAGAACTTAAGATGGATGTACAGTACAGTACTAGCTCTGGTTCATCCAGAGCTAGAGTGTGACAGTGTAGTGTGCCTTTCTTACATGATAGAAGTCCACACAGTCAAGAATGTTTAGGTAAAGTCGACAACATCAACAAGAATAAAAAAAACTTGAGTTATGGAAACCATCCGAGATAAGAGAAGCATCAGTGAGGGATGTGTGATGGAGATGTTCCAGATGACACATTACATCTATCAGTGCAGATCTGTGCAGCATCTCCAAATGGGGAGGGAGAAACTTGGTTAAATTCAACAGTAATAAAACTCAGTATTTAACAATTACACTTTCCAAATTTGATGATCTCCCACCAATTACATTTCAGGACACAATCATTCTGCCAAATTCTAAAATAGATATGCTAAGCCTCACCATTTCCTCTAATATGTCATGGAAGCCACACATCCTCAACATTGTTAAAGCTGCCTCCCAAAAGCTGGGAATGCTGTACACATGCCATAGCTACTTCACTCCTGAGCAGTTGCTTCAAGTTTATAAGAGATTCATTCATCCTAACTTGGAGTACTGCTCTCATATCTGTGGTGGCTCTTCTTCTGTCCAACTGTTAGATAGGGTGGAATCAAAGGCATTTCGTCTTATTAATTCTCCTCCTTTAGTTGATAATCTTTCTTCCCTTTCTCTTTGCCACAATATTGCTTCACTCTCTCTCTTTTACAGGTACTTTAACAGGCAATGTCCGGTGAATTTGGCATCCTGTGTACCACCGGCAAGGCTGTGGGCTCGTAACACTCATCTTGCCCGCGGTGCCCACCGTTTCTCTGTGGATGTCGGTCACATTAGAATAACCCATTATAGTACAGCCTTCTTCCCTCACACAGCCAAACTGTGGAATGCTCTGCCTTCTTCTGTGTTTCCATACTCATACAATCTGTCTCACTTCAAAAGGTTGGTTTTCCGGCATCTTCGTGGTGTAGATAACAGTAATATAATCTTTTTCTTTTCTATTTTTAATTTCTTTTTATTCTTATTTTTTGCCCTCTAGGCCTCGTTGTTGGTCGATCTATAGTGACTGTATAGAATAGCTTGTCTCAAAAGGAAGTTGGGTCATCATGCAATGACCTTTGCCACAAGACTGGGTAGAAACAGGGCAGACCAAGTTATCCTGTGTGACTACAGAGCCCTAAATATAAGTTGAAAAGATACTGAGCATTAAAGTAGAATGAGATGAAGACTCCTATAATAGGTTGGTGTCAGCCACAGCCACTTGGATCATTTGAGACAGTCACTCACCCAAAGGTTAGGTTGGAAATATTGCCCAAAGTAATAAGCTCAGTAAGCACATATAATTATCTCTTAAAGTAATATGGACAACATCAGACTAATCATCATAAACTCTTCTATACTGTACAGGACAAAGAAGTAAAAGAGCGTGACAGGAACACTGATAATGTCATATGTACAGTACAATATTAAGCACCTTGGCAAAAGTAGATCCCTGATAGAAGATGAAGGACACAGATGAAGGACACACTGCTCCTTGAGTACCATGTGTGTCACATAACTCTCAATATCACAAGTTTTCAGCCCACACAGCCCACACACAAACCAGTCAGTAGTGTAAGGTCCAGAACCCAAACCTGGAAGACAGATAAATACTGTTAATTATACAGAGAGAGAGAGCGAGAGAGAGAGAGATATGAATGTAGGACTTAGGGCCAAGTTATGTTTGGACCATGAGCCATGATCCCTGGATGTTTGGTGAGAATGTTTGGGCCAGGGTGGTGAGAATGTTTGGGCCAGGGTGGTTAGAATGTTTGGGCCAGGGTGGTTAGAATGTTTGGGCCAGGGTTCATTAGAATGTTTGGGCCAGGGTGGTTAGAATGTTTGCGCCAGGGTGGTTAAAATGTTTGGGCCAGGGTTCATTAGAATGTTTGGGCCAGGGTGGTTAGAATGTTTGCGCCAGGGTGGTTAGAATGTTTGCGCCAGGGTTCGTTAGAATGTTTGGGCCAGGGTTCAAAGTAATTTAAATAAAAAGTTAATAATCTAACCCATGTTAAAGGTTCCCAAGGACATTAAGGGGATTATAATGTACAGTAGCTAAAACAACTATCTGTGCAGGTGGGGGGTCAAAATTTTAAGTGTGACAGCCCTCATATACAGTACCAATATCGTCCATGGTCTCATATTGTTTCCCACAAAGTATGCACAGATAGTTGTTTTAGCTACTGTATATGATCCAAAGGTCCACACTACATACAACTTGTGGTTCATCATGCCTAGAAGTAAGGTATTTGATCACATTAATTTGTCTACATCACAACCCAATGATGGCCACAAGTATGTACAAATTTAGCTTTGCCACCAACTTTACATACAGCACAGCACCTTCACTGAGTTGTTCTTTACCAACAAAAAATCAGAGATTAGATTAATGAATTTACTTGTTAAAAAATATACTGGGGTAAAGCCTTTAATATGAGGAAATTACAAGATAAAGAAATGATTAGGTGCAAAATAAAGGGTTGAAATTTCTGCTAGTATGGACATGTACAGAGAGTGCATGAAATCCATAAACCAAGAGAGCGAATAAGTTAGATGAAGTGTAGACTGGGAATAAAAATATATACAATAACAAGAATAATAAGTGTGTGGTAGAGGCTAGACAAGGAGAGTGTGGATACAGAGATCTTGGTATGTCTGGACCATGAGCCAAGACCCCTGGATGTTTGGCCCGCAATATATACTAAGTCTACAGTAAGCTAGTAGGTAACGTGGCCAGCACTGCTCTCAACTTAGTGGACTGGGAATGGCCTTGGATGAAACCAGTGACCCTCAGAACAGGAGGTGAGTACTGTATCCATTAGACCACCACACTCCTAGTTAACACAATAACTACCACAGCAAGCAGGCTAGTATGACCTCTGTAATCAAGCACTCACACAAACAACAATTATGAGTTATCTTTACAATTTCTTCTCCAATGGTATAACAAATCACAATCCTGTAAAATAATCTAAGTTCTTTCCCATGACAGTACAGTAGAGTATTAAACAGAACGATTCCAGCAGTAAACAGTAAGTGATATTCCAGCAGTGAACAGTAAGTGATATTCCAGCAGTGAACAGTAAGTGATATTCCAGCAGTGAACAGTAAGTGATATTCCAGCAGTGAACAGTAAGTGATATTCCAGCAGTGAACAGTAAGTGATATTCCAGCAGTGAACAGTTAGTGATATTCCATCCAGCAGTGAACAGTACTACGTTATCACTTACCAGCGTTGGTGCTCTCGTAACAGTGACCCTCCAGCAGTAGTGGGTGGTTGTGGTCTCCCATGGCTGCAGCTCAAGCAGTTAAGTTCTACAGGAAAACTATATCAATTACTCATAGATAAAAGACTGTCTCCGTAAAGGTAAAAAAAAGAATAAAAAAACAGGAAATAATCTGCAAACATCCAGTAATGACCTAAGAATGAGAAACAACATTATTAATGCAGTTTTTCATATTGAACACAGTGATGACAATGAAAGTTTGGAGAAATGACCTTTACAACCCTGTCAATCTTGATACCACCAGGACTTCAATGCAGAGGGAAATTGAGGAATTAAAAACCTAACCTAACCTTCCTAACCTAACCTAACCTTCCTAACCTAACCTAACCTTCCTAACCTAACCTAACCTTCCTAACCTAACCTAACCTAATCGGAGACGCGCCCCCTCCCCAGCATGTTGCGTTGGCTCGTTTGTCGGGTGTTAGAACATAAGCCAAAAATTGACCTGCAGTACTGTAGTAATATAGGCAGAAAAATCACATCATAAGCAAGTGTTAGTTTGCTGAATTACAGGAAACCAACACTGATTAATAACTTGTTCCACTCGTCCACTACTTTATTTCCAAACCAATGCTTACTTCTTATTTTTATTTCAATTTGGATAACTTTATTGTCCAGTAATTAATCTAGAGATCTCATATAATCTTACTAACTACATATTACCGTATACACCAATTCACATTTTCCTGGACTGAGCTGCTTAATTCTAGTTTAATAAGTAGGGAAAATTTTGACCAGACTCCCCCAAGACAACTAACAATGGTTAACTACACAACTACATGGACTCTAGGCTGTTTCCTCCATTAACCCATACAACCCTTACACAACACCAATGGCTATATTTAAATACAATCTAGGGATTATAATACATAATACCTCAGCCTGGAAATGTAAATAACCACAATCCGTGTACAGCTGGAGGCCTCTGAGGGAGTCATTCAAAACAAGGAACAGCTGATCACACCAACCACCCAGTGAGGTCAAAGGTCAAACTTAAATTAACTTTGTTCTCGCTAATTACCTCAATACAGTCTTGTTATCTATTTTTAATCATATATGAATCTAATGACATGATATTGTATGTAAGTAAATGAAGGAGTAAAGTAATTAGTGTTGTTATAGAAGGTAATTACAGTTGGTAGTCTTGTACCATAACAACAGCCAGGTTCCAATAATGACTTACCCTCCTCCCACGCTGTTTATACTTAGGTTATAGTTATTATAAAATAGCTGTTTGGTTTATATGTTATTTGTAAATATTTGAGTAAAATTATGTAGAATGTTTACTTTAATATCGGGAATATAATGTTGCTTTGTTGTTGTTTTAAAGTGTTTGTGATCGTGTGTAAAATACTAGAAAAACACAGGTACGTTCCAATAATGTGTAATGGTTCAATTATTGGTATAATAACCGTGAGTTTCTCTCCCCGGGACACACACACCACTCATGAAGTAGTTGACACTGTGGAATAATTGAGTGAGCCCTAGATGAAGGGAGGGCGGCGGCCGGGTGTGTTACAGCAGGTCGTGGTGCAGCTCACAGCTGAGGGCCAGTCGATCGAGGGGTCTCGGTGTGAATGTTGCGCACCACCGTCATTTCGGTGATATTTTTCGCGAGTGTGAAGCAGAAGTGGTGTGGCTTCACCACGGCGTTCACGTAGACACACTGGCCTCCTGGCAAGACCCACAATACGGTGGAGTCTCTCCGCCTCCACGGAAGAAACGTAAGCAATCTTCCGAGGACACCACTTCAGCTACAGACAATATGCAGCAGCAGAGTCAACAACATCAGCTGCAGCAGCAGCAACAGGCGTCTAATGGGTCAAGTGAAGTGCAACAAAATGGTACGGGACAAACTGATGGGTGTGAGGGGAACAATGCTCAGTCTCAAAATGGTGTTAGGGAGGAGGAGGAGGCCCCCAGGCTGAGTGTGGTGCAGCAGGAGATGGTTCGCCTCATCGGCCAACACCTCGTCGAACTCGGGCTAAAGTAAGTTCATTATTATTCTCTAAAACTTGTCTCCTAATGATTTGTCTTTGTCCAACATTGGTAAATATTACAGGTCTTTTATCACCATAATTGTCGTTAATTATCAGGAGCAGTATTGTGGTCCACTCAATAATGGTTTGTTTCTTTTCAGGATTTTTTATTATATATTTGTTTTGATAATTAGTAATCCAAATATAGTGGGGGGGGGGGGCAAGGAGACACTGTGGAGTTATGTACAGTGTAACAAAGAAGACTGGTGTATATGTTCTTGACACAAACCAAAATTAGTAATATTTCACAACAAGGGTCTGGGTTATCTAGCTACCAAAGGAATAATATCTAAAATAAATCTTCTAACCTTACCTCACGTGTACAGCAAATTGGGTGGAGGAAGAACACATTTTGTACTCAGGTTTTTTTCCCTTGTTTGTCCTGCTAACAAAGGTGCTCCTGTGACCCATGACAGACGCCCTGTACCATGAGGCAAAGAGAATGTGTAGCAACTCATTGATGCCATTTACCTACACGAACCTAACCTAACCTACACGAACCTAACCTAACCTACACAAACCTAACCTAACCTACACAAACCTAACCTAACCTAACCTAAACGAACCTAACCTAACCTACACAAACCTAACCTAACCTAACCTACACGGACCTAACCTAACCTACACAAACCTAACCTAACCTAACCTACACAAACCTAACCTAACCTAACCTACACGAACCTAACCTAACCTAAAATAGTAATCTTCTATCCTAGGTTAGGCATCATAGGTTTTGTTGGAAGTAATGGTGAGTGAGGAAAATATATGTGGGTGTTTGTTCATTTTTAAACAGTAAGTTGTTGTTATGGTGGGTTCCTTTCCAGAGCTTCAACACCTCTTGGAGAACATCTGCTGTCACCTGTAGGCTTTGGTTATGATTTAACTTGTTTGGTTTTGGTTTAACTCATGGTCATATCAGGTTAGGTCTATTTGTTCTCAATAGTTTTAATATAATGGCTGACCCTTCCAATGCCAGGCCATAATATAATCATCACCACTGACCTTAGTTTACCAGAGTAGACTGTCTCATTTGGCATTCATAGGTGCACAGGGGTCGAGGATATATAAATAACAAGGAAATTGGCTGCTGGTATGTTTTGGCCTTGGGAAGATAGGCAGGATAGACCTACATCAACCCCAAGATGGCCCATTTTGTGACCTAACCTAACCTAACCTTTTGACTTAAATCTAGGATTTGGTTATAATGTCTTGAGGATTTGTAAGGGTTATATTTGAGTTAGAGTGGGTCAAGGTCGGGTTACTATTACAAAGTGTAAGACCAGGCAGTCTCATGGTGCAGACTTTGGGTGTTCTCTTTATTGTTAGCATATGTGGTATGGTAAAATTGATCCAAAACCTGTAGCAACTGTATTGATATTTTGACACTCTTGGTAAAGTTAAGGTGAGGGTCATCTGCTTCCAGAACTAGTTTAAGGCCAGACCCTCCTTAGCAACAGTCAGTACACAAAACACATACTGTACTGTACACCTTCAGTGGAGATTATAAATACTGAACACAGTTTTGATGACTTCAGATTCTTTTGTTCCTCTTTCACTAGATTTGTATTGTTTCTTAAAACAAGGTACAGTAATAAACACAAGTCTTAGTCTTGTGCAGTATTTGAATATGTTTTTGTACTTGAAGGGATAGAGTAAAAGGGGTGTGCTGAATTACCACAATCAACTGAATTGGTAAATACAGTACTGTACTGTACTTGAGAACTCATGTCCCACTTATAATGTGCAGTTTCTACTCTGTAACAGTATTGGTAATGGGTAGAGCATCCAGCTGTAAGATTGGCTTAAAATTTGCTTGCAAAATTGCCATAAAACGATGAAGATGATGATTACCCTATGCAGGTGTTTACATGAACCAACTAGCCGGTCATGTCCTTTGTGCTGTGGCTAATTAACAAAAACTATCACAGACTTGTCTCTTATTTTGGCAGGAATGAATCACATCTTTGCCACTCAAGCTTGAATGCTTACTTAAAATTCTCAATATTGTCTTATGGGATACAGACCTATCTTGCAAGTCTCTGAGGTGGAGGATGTTCCACACTTCCCATCCTTTTAGGTGTGAGACTGCTGAGGCATAAAATTCAGATTGTTGTAAAGATTTACAATTATTAAATGAACAAGGCTTCAAGAACAGTGTCTTGGAATTTCTTACAGATCACAGGAGTCCAAATTCCACAGCATGTTATTTTTCCCTATATTCTGCACATGTTAGCCTGTCTTACTATCTGGCCAACGAACCTACACTTCCCCTGCTTCTTTTATTGCAAGTATTCACAGCCATCCTCGATCACCATTCACTCAAAGCAACAGCGTTGTTCTCCAAGATGGCAAATAACAACACTTGCTTTGGTGTTTGTCACATGAAGTGTACACAGGTTTTGGTAAGAGGTTTGTGTGAGCATGATTGATTGCTTCTATCAGTTGAATTTAGAGTTTACTGTGTCTCCCAGGACCTGGGTACACCGTTTAGGAGGTGGGTCTTAGGCTGTTGTATTCTTGACAACAGAATTATCTGTTTTACTGCTCCTGACTCAATGTGGGTTCTGTGGTTGTAATAATAATGACAATAATGTTTGACTCCTTCCTTCACAAGGACATTCAGCCAAAGTATCCCTCTAGGGCTATACCTGAAGTGGTCTTTTGTGCAGGACCACAAGTTTTAACTTGTTGGACATGTGGGGTAAGTTTGACAACTTCGGTGTTAATTCAGACATTTGGGTCTCAATTTCAAAAAATTTCTGAGTAATTTGACACTGCCAAAACTATACAGCTTAGTAAAGGGCAAATTAAGGGGTTCAGGTGTACTGTACTTTGATTGGTGTCATGTTTGTTCTGTGATGGCAAAGGTTGTATGTTTGGTGCTAGTTGTTTTTCATCACCATCAAGGCTCAGAGTGATTCTCAAGTCTTCATAGTGTTTTGTAGTGACTCAGTTAATATTTCCCATACTGTAATTTATTGAAGTTTAGCATTATCTGTCCAAAGTTTTTTTCACTTGATTCAGTAATCTGTCCTCAGTCCACCACTAGAGGGTTCATCAGTTGCTTCAGACTGACTCTTGGTGTTTCTCAGCTCCTCCTCTCTCAAAAGAGGCTCGACATTTATTTTTTTCAGAATTTTATTACTGCTACATCCAGCTGCATTGAGGAAGATTATACAAGATTATTGACCTAACTGATGTAGGTCAAGATGGTCAAGCCAAACCACTGAGCACTGTACTCTAGCCTCCTCAGCCAAAGCTTGAATTTCTACTTTAACAGGAGAGTAACATCAGTAGATCTCTCTCACCTCCAACAATGTCTCCCTTACTTCAGCAGCCACAGATCTGACAGCCTCTATACTTTCCACTCTGGTTTCTCATGTCATATCACTCCATAACTTCAAAGTCACATTATGGTATAAAGTAAAGAGCTTTTGGACAGGTACCCAAGCTAACCAATGGTATCAGCTGAAGAAATTGTTGCACCATCTACCATATGGTTCAGTGTTGCGCTCCACATGGGGCATTGCTCCCCAGTACACAACTTGAGTATTTTTTTGTGGCAGTTTTGCTCGAACATCTTGGTTTTTCCCATTAATGTTTGAACCATCATGTACCGACTCTTCAGGCTTCTTCAAAATGTCTTTTAACAAATAGGGACCAGTTGTTTCTTTCACTATTTGGAATCCCAAAATATGATCTTTAATTTCTGACATCTCTGGTGACACAGTTCTTATATCACTGACATCTGTTCCTGGTGGTTAACATCTGGGATCCAGTCCAAGATATTGGAGCAGTATTAAGACTCCTATATCTGTGTCATGATCTACTGCTGTTTTATTCAGTATAGGAGCATGAGACATCCCCCCCATTGAGTTGTTCAGTGTGTTATTCTGTTACTGGGTCAAACATTGCAAGTTCAGTTCTGTAATTCAACTTCTTTCATGAAGTTAACACTGTTTGTCTTGTACAAAGTGTCTGAAGAGCCCTGGACAGCAAGGTGTTTTTCAGCAAGTGAATCTTCTATTGTAAACCAGCCTTATTAGAGTATCCTGCCAACATTTACTCTCAGCTTCAAGAATAAACATTTCTGTGAAATCCATAGTTATCTTTTTCTCGGCACACTTCAAGGTCTTTTCATAATATCTTTTTCTTTGTATGCTCGACACTACACTACTGTATTTTCATTTACATTAGCTAGAGGTGGCCTTGGTGGTCACACTAACAGTCGGTCTCCTTGGTGACAGTGAACTATTGTTACATCACTACAGTACAGTATGGTACAGTATGCAGGAGTTAGATGAGGTTGTATAAGGTCGAGGATGAACAGATAGTAACTGACAACATACCTGTAGGGGGAGTAGTAGTGGAGGTCTGCACAGCCTCAAGTAGTCAACTATATACATCACTGTACAGTATTTGATTAAGCACTGCATGAGATGGTCCAGTCAGTTTAGTCCAGTATATGAAGCTACTCCCCTCAGAGGTACACGCTGCCTCCCCTCACAGTATAGTATAATCCTTTTATATTCAAACTATAAGGGGCAGACACCATCATCCATGTTTTACACTAGTGGCAGGTCTTCGTGCTGTCCGTTTTCTCTGGGGTCATATCTCACAACTGCTTCCCATGTTATTCTTGGTATACCCTGAACTCTCCTCCCAGTTGGTCTTCTCCATTCTCTCTTCATGCCATAATCATCTAAGCCTCACCAATATATGGTACGTACTCTTAATACCCAGCTGCTCTCTTAGCTCTAACCATTGCTATCTTTCAGCTTCACATTACACATCCATCTCACAGTAGACCTTTGCGATTCGCGGTAAGCAGAAGGTGGCTAGCTTGCGAGCCTTTTCTCACAGCACAACAAGTCACCCCACGCAGCATCTCATGTTGTACTCTCAAACCTTCAGTGTTTCTGTGTGAAAATGGACCCTAAAAGACTGCTTGTGTTCATGCTAGTGGAGTGAAATGTAAAAGACAGAAGTCAGTGATGACCCTGACAAAGAAAGTTTTATTATTTGATAAGTTAAAAGAGCGGATGAGTGCTGGTTGGTTGTTTGGTACAGTAGTGCACTAAGGTAGTATAAGTTGCTGTTCACGGTTTTGCCTATTCACGCCATTCCTTGGAACATAACCCCCACAAATAACGAGGGTTTACTGTATTCTCGTTTCAACTCACTCATGCTTGTGTATGTCAGCTTTTTTATCTGCCCATGTCTCACTGCCATACAACATCACACTTCTCACCCCAGCTGCCCACATGTTTCCTTTCACACAAAGAGAAGGTCCTCATGTCATCAATAAAGGCAACAGTTTCTTAGAGTTCCTCTAGTCACTTCTAACTCTTGCAGCACCACCTCCAGCACTGTTCACGTCACCTTGGTAACAACTCATTCAGAGTTCAGGGATATAAACTGTACTGTATCCCTATGTTGAATTTCTGAGTGAAGTAGCCCCTAAAAGACTACCTAGTGTCAGTGCTAGTGGAGTGGAACATAAAAGAAAGAAGTCAGTGATGACCCTGACAAAGAAAGTTTAATTAAAGTACTGTAGTATAAGTTGTTATTTGCGGTTTTGCCTATTTGTGCCATTCTTTGGAACTCAACTTCCATGGGTAACAAGGGCTTACTGCCCAGTGTCACAGCACATGGTTTATGATAGGGCAGTTTTCATTTATTTTTATAAACAACTGTACAGTATTTAAACTTAAGGTCAAGAAATATACAAATAATGTATGTTTATTCACCAAACCTTCATGATTCAGATTGTGTTTGTTATAAAGTACTGTAGGCCAGCCTCATTATTCAACAGTATTGTTTCTCATAAGACATCTTGAAGAACAGGATATTGAGTTAACAGTTAAAAGTTTTGATTCTCACTGAAGTAACTAAATAATACAAAGGCCAAGAACAGTTAAGTTAAATAAAACCTGTTACCTACCCACCTGAGGGAGTGACCATGAGACACACTGCCTTCCTCACTAGTTACTGTATTTTACAGCTTATAAGACACAAGGCATGTAAGACACACTTCAGCAGGGAATGTTTAGGACTTTTTTTTAGTGAACAGTATTTCATCATTTAATGTTACTCCTACTAATGTGGATCATGATGCTGTACAGTAAGTCCTGTGTTGGTGTGAGTACACTACAGTACCAAGCTTACTGAAATTATCTGTCCCCAAAATAACTCACAACAGCCTTTTCATTTTCTTGCAAAATTTGTGTACATATGTCCCACTCTCATATAATGTTCTCACATTCCAAGCTTAAATTTTATGTACTGTATATGGCATCATTCCTGAACTTTTCAGTTGTTGTTTTTGTTCAAAGCTTTAATTTGCTCAGACTGAACTTGCTAGCTTATGGTGGCACAGTACTACCTGCAAGAATGGGAGGCAGTGCAGTTGGACCTATACTCCTTTAGGTGATGTTTATCAAACTTGAATGCTTGATCATCATCCACTATCCATTTTGTTTATGGGTACTGTACCACTTTTAGGCTGCAGTGGTTAAAAGTAACAGGGGGGATATTTATAATCTTAGTAATGAAGACATTGTTTAAATTAAAAGAAATATCTCAAACATTACTGTAATATTCTTACTCTCTTCATTCTTGACATAAGGAATTAGACCCGAGGATGCTGGCTTTTTTTTCTAACAGGAACAAACCCAAAACTGTGATAATATATTGTAATGATGAGAGTATTGGTAAGGTTATGTGTGGGGATGGTTGAAGATAGTTCAGACTTGTGGAGAGAATGGAGGAGACCAGAGATGCATGGGTCTAAGTGTGCAGAGGAGGAGAGCTATGGTAGGTGTAGGCCAAGAATGACAGGGGGAGAGGTTGTAAGAAATGCCCTCAGAAAAGAACCTGATGAGAGAGGAGAGGCTGCAACAAACTGAATAAGGACATACCTGTACATGAACTCTATTACTTATGCTGTTAAACTTTCTGCTTATAAAGTGTGGTACTGTATCCCCTTAGGTCACTCACTTCCTCTCTTTAGCCATAAAGTGGGACAGTATTGGTGTCTCAATCCTCAGTTAATGTTAGCCAAGGAAGTGCAAAGATTTACAGAAGGAGAAATATTTAATATAATCTAATATATCAGTAGAGATTAAAAGGTATGTATATTAATCTGATAATTTTACTTCAGAAAGAGTGCCGACCTGTTGATGTCCGAGTCAGGATGCCGACTCGATCACCCGGCTGCAGCTAGATTTCGCCACTGTGTCATGGATGGAGAATGGGCTAAAGCCGAGGCAGCTCTTAGTGAGTTGCGGACAATGCTTGATGATCCCTCCAGCCTCAAGGTGAGGGATAGTGTGCCAGTATGATTCGTGCTGTAGGTCGTCATATAGCACAGTTTGTCATTGATGTCACACAGTTGTAGGCGGGGCTTCTGGGAGACCACGTGGTAGCGGTGCGGATGACAAACAGAGCGATGTTTACCCGTTACCCTTAATAATAAATTCAAATAACCACTGCTACAATAATGCTCATTAGACTGTGTACTGGCTCCAACCCGCAAAAATCGGTTTTATGTGGGAGTCATATTTTAATCCTTTTTCTATCAGCCGAGAGCAGTTGAGTGAACATTACAATACAGAAAATAAGGTTAGACGTCCTTCAAAGTAAAGTAATATTTCCAACCATACACCAAAACTTCCCCAGAAAACCCAAGCCCCTGAAGAGTGATGTGCCTCATTCATCATCCCTCTGCACCAGCCAATCAGCACGCAGCATCGGACTGCCATCTTAGTGTGTTTTGTTGTGCTCTGCCCGCGGTCCTTCCGGGAAACCCTCCATACTTTTTCTACTCTTGTGCCATTATGACAAGCTTTTCGAGTGCTAAACAGTGCCAACAATGTCAGGAGAAGGCCTTGATCACGATGATAGTGTTGCCGGGCCATCAGGCCTTGGTGCAACTAGTGAAATGAGTGATACCCAGGTCATTATTATTGTGCTATGGCACGGGCTCCCTCAGTGATAGCAATACCGATGTTGATGATCCCGTTATCCTTGATATCAGTGGCAGCATGACTCATGTCCCTCGTGATAGTGACAGTGATGAAAGTGATAATGATGGTGGTGACGGTAGGCCTAGTGGAAGTGAGGCAAGGGTAGCAGCTGGTGAGGCTGAGGGTGGTGTGGGCCACGCATGTCACCCCATAGAAAAAAAGGAACGCAAACGTGTACACAATGTTGAGCAGTGGGCGCAGAATGTTGCAAAATGTGACATAATCTTGGCCTTGATTACGTTGGTTACTCGACCAAGAAAAGAGTAGAGCCCAGGAAAGTTTGTGAGCCCTGTCCTGATGGGTGCTTTAATAAAATAGCCTGTGCTGACATTGACACCATTTTTGCCAATTTCTGGGCTATTGGTGAGTACAGTGTACAAAATGCATACCTGCAATCACTAATTAAAGAAGTGCCAGTGAAAAGGAAGCACAAACAAGGCGAGAGGAGCCAGAGGCCATCACTCAGGTGCCACGGGAATTACTTCACCTGGTTGAGGAGGAAGCCGCCACCTCCAGAGATGACAATGTCAAGTCTGTTGCATTCGACCTGCAGCAAACCCTTCCATGTCCCTAACTCTCTGCAGGCATAGCTTATTACAAGAGGAAGCTATGGGTGTACAACTTGTGTGTGTATGACCTCAATGAGAAGGAGGACACAATGTTTGTGTGGGTTGAGGTTACAGAAGGGCTTGGCTCTGATGAAATTGCAAGCTGCCTTTTAAAGTGGCTGCAACGCAAGATGGATGACCAGGACCTCGACTTTATACACCTGCGTGTTTTTGCCGACAACTGTGGCGGGCAAAATAAGAACGTAAACATGCTGCTCATGGCACTGCAGCAGGTGCATGCAAAACGATTGGTCAGGACTGAGTTCATCTTTATGAAAAGTGGCCATTCATAACTCCCCTGTGACCAAGCCTTTGGGTCAGTCGAGAAGAAGATAAGGAAACTTCAGAGTATTGCCAGTACCAGGGACTACATCGATGTCATCCGCAGTGCTGTCAAAAAAACCTTTTCTGTAGTGCCAATGGAGCAGGATGACTTCAAAGATGTCAAAGTCCTCCAACGATACATCGCCTGATAGAGTGGCCCTGGCTTCTCTCAGGCTTGTCAGCTGGTTGTGGATGTTGCCTTCCCAGAGGGTTACCTAATGAAGACAAACTACAATAAGGATGACCTGCCAGGCAACACCACAGAAGTGAAGCTCATGAGGGTAAAGGCTCCTGGTGGTAAAGGCTCTTGGTCACGGAAAAGGTTTGACCTGGCGAATGTGTCCCTCACCCCCAAGTACCCCTAAGATCGACTCCTGACGGCGGAGAAGTGCCAGGACCTCAGGAGCCTTGTTGCCCTTCTTGGCACCCAAGGGCAAGCCTGGCTGACGGCCCTCCTTGATAAGCAGGATGCACCCCGGCAAGCTGGTGGGACAACACAGGAGGAGGAAGAGGCAGTGGATGACCCTGACCACATTGTCATGGATTGCGTCCGTGTCATCTAGTGCCATGCCACACCCTCTCCTGCTGCCTCTTCTGTTGATGACTCAGACCTCCTCATGAACTATGGCCATGGAGTACACTAGTAACAAGGAAGAGAACCAACCTCCACCTTCCCTTGGTGAGTTTTCTCTATTTTTTTCATACAAGTCACCTTCCCCACTCCTGTGGGGTTGCATAAACCAGAAAGAAATGAGAAAAGAATAATACATAGTGTGAAAAGAACTAGACAGACAGAATGAGGGGTGCAAGAAAGCCTGGACTGTATGGAAGTATGAAACCATCCATTATTACAGAGTTATTTGGCCAGAAAATGTTCTCAATGTTTGGTTAATATTCGAACGACCATAATCGCTGCAAATAAAAACCTGATTTTTTTTTAAATCGGGGCATCTGATGACTTGTGGGTGTGAATGAAAACCAAAGTCAGCTTTAGAATATAGAATACCTAACCTTCAAATTAGAATGTTCTAGGTCTTCAAACAACAAGATTATGGTTATTTAAACTTTGCCAAACTTTGAGGGCTTTTTCTGGCATTTTTACTTTTGGCACGAGTGAACATTCTAACGTGCAGGGCCTCAATTATTATCTTGCTCATTAAAAGACATAGAACAAAATACACTAAAATATAACAGCTGTTAGTACTGTATATGAACCGTATACGTATGTCTATTAAGTTGTTTGTCCTCCGTCCCGTTGTTGTTACCACGTCTATCTCGAATCTATTGTTAGTCATTGGAGAATGATGAACTGTGCTATACCGTGTATTTTGTTTTATTATAAGTAGCATAAGTAATCCCTTAATAAGATGTGTTCACCGGGTCCAATCAATATCACATGAAATTCAAATTGCATTACACTATATTCTTATACTGTACTACACAAGTGAGGCCCCAAACTGACTGTGACAACATCCCCTCCCCAACAAATTCTCACATCCCACACATCAGGCCATTTTTTGTGGCCTTAGTTTCTGATAGACTAAAAATAATATGAAAATCATATATGCTACACCATAGGGATTTACTGAACAGCCCTGTGTAGACACAACACACTGTCTACTCTTACACACAGTATTATACATAGCAGTGATTGATGTCACATCCATATCCACAGAACATCCTCAAATTTTTCACGTGATGCGGATGTTGTGGATTTATAGAGCTTGGGACTAGTTTTTAATTTTAAGGAGTAAGTAATTTTTATGCCATCAGTTTTAGTAGGAAGGTATAACTACTTTATGAATTGGTTCTACTGTTGATTGTCTTGGGGGTTTCCTGGGCCCAACTGTACAATATTGACTGAGTGGGATGATACATAAGTTTCTTAATCCTGTGGTAGTTATAATATGGGATGTGTGGAATCAATCCTTCATTGTATTAAAAATGGACATAACTTTTACTTTAAATTTCTGCTCTCTTGATTTACATCGGGATGTTGAATAAATAAATGTAGTAGCCAAATGAATCTGTACCTCATACTACCAATAAGCACTAGACTTCAAGCACTGACTTAATGTTCAACAAAATTAAGGGTGAATTCCCTTATACTGTATGGTGGAAATTGATGAGAGTGCAGCTGGGCGTACTGTGACACCCACAAGTTTGTTAAGAGAAAAGGAAGGTCCAGTAATCAGTGTGGCAGAAATTTGTTGTAAATATTCATTACTGTATAAGTGAAAGTTATCCAAGTTTTGGTACAGTATTCAGCCATTGAATTAAAAACTGTTGATGGTCATGTGAGAAACAATCATGATTGTTAAACGATCACTGGGGGTTAACAGGTGAGGTTGTGTATTATTCTTAAAGATAATTTGTTGTATTTTTTTCAGGAGATGCGTTTCTTACTGCTGGAACAGAAGTACTTAGAGCTGCTTGAGAGTGGACAGGCCATGGATGCCTTAACGTGCCTCCGCTCACAGCTCACACCCCTACAGCACAACATGGAGCGCGTTCATCAACTCTCAAGGTTTGTTTCTGTTATTTATTTATTATATCATCACTTACCAGATACTTAGCCATTCAGGCGGTCATTCCCTTCTGTGTTATGATGTTTTGTTGTCCAGTGTTAGGACGGGAGAAAACCTGTGAGGTTTGGTAGTCACACTGGATAACACTCAGTGTGATTCTACACCAAACATCACAGGTTTCACCAGAGTTCATTCTGGTGTACTGTAATGGGTTAATAAAAGACTTACAGTATATAACATCCCCAGAGAAAAACATATTCTCCAAGTTACACACCTCGGTCTCAAGCCTGATAATGTCAAAACATTTTCATGCCAAAATATAATGAAACTTGAAACTTTTTCAGAATTAATTTTTGTATTTTCAGATTTAACAATATAGTGTAGTAAGTACAGTAATAAAATAATCTAGTCTTTTTTTACTTGAAGATAACAATTTTAGTTTTGTTAATTCATCATGGTCAGATTATTGGAGAATACAATACAGTACAGTATGTAGATATACAATTTGTAATGATGTAGCTAATACAGTACTGTATTTCTGTTATAGTTTGATGTTTATGTCAAACCCTGAGGAGCTCCGCGCTGCAGCACGTTGGACAGGCATGGGCAAGGAGTCCAGAAAAGAGCTCATGGACCGTCTTCAACACTTCCTGCCGCCTTCAATAATGTTGCCTCCACATAGGTAAATAAACTTACAGTAAATTCTTTCAAATTACTAACAAGTTAAATTAATTTGGGAATCGTACAGTGTACAGTAATGTGTATTTTTTATGTATAAATTGTAATACAGTTTGTATACAAATGATTTATTGTAATTACAGTGCAGGGTACACAACCATAGACATTTGTTAATGATGGAAGTACATTTAAGTCAAATTGTTTATTTTTCAAGGTTATTCATATTTTTTTGCAATTTGATATAAAGGAACACTACCCAATACCTGTTTTAGGGAAAATCCTTTTTTACGGAATGAATTTGGTCCCTCTTTGTAAAAATGGGATTTTACTATACAGTAGTATTAAATAAAGTCAGTGTTGATGTATTATCTAGCTACTGTAATGTTATAATATTTGACATCATCAGAATGCCCTGTTAACATGAATATTATTGCAGACTTGAAACGTTGATTCTTCAAGCAGTGGAGCAGCAGCGTACCCAGTGTGCCTACCACAACACTCGCAGTGATAGTCAGGTGAGTAGAAGAGGTGATGACGACAACACTCAACACTATGTCAAGGTCAGTAGGAACAGCCCGTTGGATCTTGCACACACACACATATATTGTACTGTACTTGATGAACATGTAATATCATTTCATAGTGATTGGGGTCTCAAACTAACCTCTAATATTAACTGTTTATAAATGATGAGATGACAAACTAAACTTTGGTGTAAAACTGTTTATTGCATAGTATGTCTCCTGGTATGGAAAGGTTTGCTAACTGAAGGCACAATAGCAAGTGTTTCTTATAACTTACACTGTAGTCTGTAGAGCTTCTCTGTCTGGGACTTACTTAGGACCTACAGGAGATGCATCACCACAGAGCTATTCTTTGGCAGGAACACTCCCCATAAGGGTAATGGCCTACAGACGAAACATGAGCTTTTTTTTTTTTATCTAATAGAGACGTATACTGAATGTGGCTTCAACTATTGTCATGATAATTGATGAAATACCAAGTCATTGTGGCTCTGGGGTTCTCTTGTCTCAATTCTCTCCCCCAAGGTTGTATACATCATATTAAGAATGTAGGAGAAGTCTGTCATACAGTTCAGTTCCTCACTGGCTGTCACTAAAAGTAGAGCTTCATATTGGCTCTAACAAGGCAGTGTATACAAATGCTAAGTGTTAGAGCCACTCTGTGATACTTCATGGATAGTTTGCAGAAGTTACTGCAGTTCTACGGGGTGTTGTGCACGTAACACATCTTACTTACATCTTTACCTGAGATTTCTTTGTATTTTATACCGGCCTTTCTGAGTTATATTATCCTTGGTGGACTTTCACATGCTTGCAATTTAGTTTCATGACAATTTCTAAATCCTGGAGAATGCCATATAGTTTGTTATGGAATTCCTCTTATCTAACCAGTAATCACACGTGTCCCCATAAACTGTATCACATTACGTAGTATATGATAAGACGGCTCAGGAAGCACACCCAGGCTGAACTTATATACAGTACTGTACATCTGTATTAGGAAATACTGTACACTCATTGGGTCAGATGAGCAGGTGACTCACTAAACTTAATGGGTTGATACAGCATAGATTATAAAGATTTATTTGCTTCAAATGTAAATTATAGTAAGTACGTGTAACTCTTTGAAGATAAACTAGACTGTAAAGTACTTATTACTGGTTAGTACAGTACAGTAGTACTGTACAGTAAACTCTCATACTTAAGAGGAATGGGGAGAGGATGCCTGTCAAAAAATGGAAATACTGTGCAGTAAAATCCCACTAGTCAAAGATGATCAAACATTCTGTAGTATGGATTATTGGTTAATAATAGTTTATAGTAATAGTGTTTAGAGGAAAGAATAATGTTTAATAATTTAAACCCTTCACTATGGGAACCCCATTTTTAATATTTTATTTGGCTGATGCCAGACAATATTATTCGGCACAGAGGGGATCCCTTACCCAAGTGGTTAATATTTATGTTGGCACACTGTGTTGTTTGACACATTGTGCCGTAAAGATTTTTAGCTTCCACGCTCAGTCTCGGCAGTAGCTGACATTGCCCCCAAATATCAGGACAGAAAGATGTCTTATTGGGATTATCCATTATTGAGAGAGTTTGGTGTATAATTCTTGTGTATAGGAATTATTTTATTGTATGAGTTACTATTATCTACAAGTTTTGAGGCTGTAGCCACAACCAGAGTGAGAGCTGGACACCTGTGTCATCCGTTCCTCTTATCTGCTATGGTGTGAGGTTCTATAATTGAGGTACAGTATCTTCAAAGACTTACCAGAATGAATGCATATACAAACACTCCCCGGCTACTCTCCCATAAGTCTGTTTAAAATGAGTGTCAAGTAGTTCCTGGGCCGAGCGGGGTTATTGTCCACCTGTGAGCTTTATGTTACGTTATGGTTATTTTTGAACTTTTAATTTCTGGTGTACTGTAAATGTGTCTGTAATATTCTTTTTTTTTTTTTAGTTACATACACACTGAATCTTAAATCCAGAAAGTCCATTTAAAAGAAATACAGGTACACAAGTAATTATAATACATTAAGGTATAAAGTATTTTGAACTCATAATTTTGGGTAGATTTAATGCGCATAATTTTCTTTGGTTTATTTATTTTACTTTCTTTTACTCAGTTACATACATACAGAAAGTGCTATAACAAATCAAATAACTACCCTGTAATTAATGGTAAGGTACAGTATAAAGTTGTACATATCTATGAGCCTCTACCGTGAAGCTGTGTGTGGGTCCGTGGCAGGGGAGGACCAGGGGCGACTGTTTCAACACTCACATATATCATTTTTGCTCTTTCTAGGTTTCATTAATGCTATGTATATGCTTTTGTTATTGATGTTTATATGCCTACAATTTTAAGTTTTCATGTTACAGTGTATGGTTAAAGGTACATTTAGGGGTGAAGCTAGTGATCTGAACAGTCTTCACAGCCTGTTACAGAGGGTTTACTGTACATTTTAGGCCTGCCTCCCCAAATTCCCCCCAAAAAGTATCTGGCAACCCCCGGGTCCCAAGCATGTCAGATATATTGCCCCATACCTGTATAGTAATTGTATATACATTATGTGTACTGTGTGTGTTCACTGAGTACCTATGAGAGGGTCACTTACGAATAGCCTCCATGAACGGAACCCGGGGAGAGTCTGTACAGTTAACTATCTTAATGTCAGTTGTTGTGTTGGGAAAATGTTGATGTAGAGGTAGAGTTGTTGTGTCAATAATTTATGAGTTTTTACAACTATAACTTCATGAAACATTCTGCCAAAGTGGAGAAAACCATCCAGTTCAGTGATTATTGTTCCTCTGAGGAGAAAACCTCAGGGAGCTGTCAGTCCAAAGTAACTTAAGATGTAAGGCGGAGTAAGCTTAGGTACCACTACTGAAGAGGAAGCCACTGCTTGCTTGAGAAACTGAAGAAAATTTTTTTCCTGGATATTTATGACTAATTTAGGTCAAATACTGTGATATGATAAGAACTTCAGGAAGAGCTTTTGAACTAGAATGAATATTCTCTCGGCAACCAGTTTGTGAAATGGCCGTCTGGGCTGAATACACGAGGCCTCAGTATCCAGATCTGTTCACTATACAGTATGGGTCTGTCTCTATACTGTACAGTACTACATTTGATGCTTTTATCACTAACTACACAATAGATTTGTTATGCTGTCCCACTATACAGTAGTGTCTGGTGGTCACTTGTCTCTTCTCCTTGACCATAAAATGGGATCTCATATTTTAATCCTTGAATTCTTTGCTATGGCTATATCTTATTGTGAAGAACCTATACAGTACAGTACAGTATTGGGTGATAATTGAGACAAAGGGAACCTCTTAACCCCTGAATACAGGTACTGTAACACTCCCTGGCAGTAGCCAAGTAAAATATTAAAAGGGGTTACCTCATAGTGAAGGGGGTTAAAAAAATAATATGACTTATAACCAGAAGTTATCTCCAGGGACAACTTGAGTTAAGGTTATAAGAGCAATAGAGTTTTGGAAAAATAATTGTACGGCCTACTTACTTACTTACTTACTTCTATAAATCATGTTTAGAACTTAAGCCTTATAAAAGTTTACAAGAAGCTTATAATTTACTATTTATACCAACAGGTCCTTGGTTCTGGAGGGTCACTGCTTATGGACCACTCGTGTTCGAGAAATGCCTTCCCAGGAACTACCGTCCAGATCCTGTCAGACCACTGTGATGAGGTCTGGATAGCTCGTTTTAGTCCTGACGGAAGTAAATTAGCCACCGGGTCAAAGGACTCAACAGTCATACTTTGGGATGTTGAACCTGTGAGTATATTGTGTGAGAGGTGCGGTGTAGTGATATATCTCTCTGTCTCTTTCTCTCTCTCTATCTCTGTCTCTCTCTCTCTGTCTCTATCTGTCTGTCTCTCTCTCTCTCTGTCTGTCTCTCTCTCTCTCTCTCTCTCTGTCTGTCTCTCTCTCTCTCTCTGTCTGTCTCTCTCTCTCTGTCTGTCTCTCTGTCTCTCTCTCTGTGTCTCTCTCTCTCTCTCTCTCTCTCTCTCTCTCTCTCATTTAGGTACTGTAGGTTTAAACCAATAGTGGTCAGTGTTGTATTAAAACACTATACAGTACTAAGCCATATCAAGGCCACCTAGGCTGCTTGGAATTTATTTACAATATACTAATGTAAATAATTGTACAGTAGCTCAAAAGGTAAATTATTCTCTATATACTGTATAAACATTACATATTTTGTGTTCTGAGACACATACACACAACAATGAAAGTTGTAGTATATAAGCATTGATAGATAATGTATCACTACTGTCACCAGTGATTAAATATAAAAGTGCTTCTTCACACTACTTGTACTTCCCAAAAAGTCAAGAATTTACTTTATTATCTGAATTAGTTAACTTTTCATATTAATTGATGTAAATACAGCACAGTAGTTAACTTTCAAAATATTGGTTAACTTAATAGGTGAGATGCCCAAATCAACTTAACCAGTTAATTGAGCCATCCCTGGTTATGATACACTGCACTGAATCATTTCATTTCCCACACAGGAGACCCTGACAGTCACAAGACGCTTCACCTTAGACGGTCATTCGTACGGTGTTGTTTACCTTGCCTGGAGTCCAGATAGCTCTAAACTTATAGTGTGTTTACAAGAAGAAGCTGCTGAACTAGTGGTAAGCTCCCAAGTGAAGGTTACTGGGGTGATGGTGTGGTCATCCATAAGGCCAAGGTTGTTCTCCACCATGACACATGCCCTCCTGGTGGTCTGGTCACTTTGCCATCTTGGTTAATTGTCAGTGAATGTGTTTTATAATTGTTTAAAAAAATTACTACTACGTATTATATATATAATCATGGAGTGGGGTTTAAAGGGTACGAGAAAATCTATTACGTACCAGTAATAACTCTACATGAAACGTTAAAGAATAGATGGAAATTAGACCAAATTAATGTTTAAACAACTATATGAGAGGGAAACCATTAGCTTTTGACACAATCATGTTACCTTGTATTTTTTGACATTCTGTGCAGTATTGATGTGTGCCTCACTTAATAGTACTGTGCTTCCAGTTCTTGCCTCAGGACTTTTTGAATTCCAAGGTCACCTGTAAATGATGTGTTCAGCAGTTTGCTGTAATTTGTAGAACGGTATTTTTGTGTGTTGTACAATGATTTTACTATAATACTTATACTGTATGTGGTCTTCAGACTACATGACAGTGAACAGTTTTCTCCCATCTGTACGACTTCTTTTGTACCTAAAACATATTTTTTCTGTTTATATCAGCCATCTTTTACATACCTCCACACTTTGTACTTATGAAGCTTTCTGCTACCTAAGATTGTTGGGGACATTTATTGTTGTTATCTCTGAGGTTTCAGTATAACATCGAGCAACTGTGTACATTACACAAGAGTTAGAGGTTGCAGTCCTCACTCTCTTTTGTACAATTTGAAACACTTTGTCTGCCTCGTCCTTGGAGTACAGTATTGAAAGTACCACCTCCTCCCACTTTCTAACTGGCTCTTGGTACTGTATTAGCAATGGCATCAAGCTAAAAATGGAGGATTGATTCTGAAATCCTGTTTTCTAGCAAAGTCTGTAGGCAGGTGGCTGAGAACACCCCTGCCCTTCTCCCTAGGGTGTTTGGGTAGTCAGTGGGAAATTAGATACCGGTGTAAATAGCAGATTGATTCTGTAATGAAGATGGTGGCCGCATTAGGTGTGCTGTCTTGGCTGACTTTATATATCTATCTCCTGTTTGTAAAGGGCAACCTTTGCAGCCAGTCTCCCTTTTCAGGGTGATATCTGTGATGGGGAGGGATGGGCAATTGTAAGATCAACCCCAGCTGCCAGCTGGGGGTTAGTCTACCCTCCTAGACCCTCCAAAACAGCCTGCAGGAAGATGTTGTGATTGATGTCCCCTTCATAAGTTCCATGCACTGCCTCATGCTAACAGGTGGTAAAGTTCTGCTGGAAAATTGGATTTCAGAATCAATTCTTCATTTCTTTTATCATATTTTCCACATGGTCTAGCATGCTTCTGAGCTCTTTTATTTGTTTTTGTTGTTTGCTAATGAGAGCCATCATGTGTAAGCTCTGCTAAGCCTTTCTTGTTTGTTATCAAAAATAAATGTTGCAGGTGAGTGGTGCTCATAAACCAAGTGAGTTATGTTATGCAGTACAGTTCTCATGCTGATTGGCTTGTGTAGGAAGGAGGCTTTATGGTTGGTGTTTCTGACTTAAGTTTCTCATAGTGAGTGTTTCTATGAGGAGACTTTAACATAGGTTGAATATTTGCTTGTTGAAATATCATGTTCATATTCTGTAAAAATTAAGTGTTTTAGCTCCAATAAAATGCCTAAAACAATGCCACAAAGGAAAGGGTCATCTGGGAAGACTACAAGAGCTAGGCCACTGATTATTAACTATGCACACTACCTGACAACCTTGAACTATGATAAGGCAATACAGTATTCAAGTTGTAGACTGTGCATGTGTCGTACAACCAACCATTACAACAGTGTTTACTCCCTATTTTGTATTAATTTATCATGTTAATGCAAATCATGGCTGTTGGGCGTGTGTATGTGTGATGATTACTATATTAACATGTTAGGAGTTATGTATTATATTTTTACTGCCTCTGTAGAATTTAACGTTCATTTAGTGGAAAACCTCCCATTGGCTACTCCTCGCTGCACCAGTTTGTCTGATTATTGCTTCTTTGCAAAGGTTTTCTGTGGCATATCACGAAAGCAACTAAACTTATCTAATTGATAATTTATGAAACACATTTATTGATTCAGTGTGAAGAAGACCAAATTCAAGTCTCTAGGTTAAAGTCCCAGGTTGGTTATAGGTCAAAATGTTGTCAAAAGTGTAGCTTCTGTATTAGCAGATATTTTTGTAACTTAACATGACTGTGTCCATAATAGGTTTACTGTACACGAGTCACCCGGCGCTGACTCTCGTACAACATGGGAGTTGAGGATCGATCAGTTATGTTGGTTGTTTTGACCTCAATGATGGTCAGTTCTTACATGGGTGTAATATAACAAATCTGGGAAGCATTTTTTTTTTGTTTAAGAAAATTATCCTCAAGTATCTGAAAATCGTGTGTTAGCTAGACTGGCTGCAGACCAATTGGTTTGGTTAAGGGTGAGATTACTGGTTATGCCGGTTAAATAATTTTGAGATGTAGTTTGTTGATAAGATTATTGCTTAAGAAATGTTGACTTAAACAGATATGTTTTTCATTACATGATGGGCTTGTATTTATTATTTATGCTAATAAAACTTTATGCCTCGATCTTAGATATAAGTTAGAGCCAACACATATTAGAGGTTATATAGAGTTTAAGGGTGCTCCTTCTGTCAGCTTGGGTTAGGTTTACAGTTCCCAAGCCTCAAAGACAAACAGTGCTTGTGCAGTGACTCTTTTTGGTTAGTGGAGAATAAGTGCAGTACTGTATACAACTTGGTCTCGCCCTCCTCCCTGTGCTTGATTCCAACATTGGCATGACACCTGTGATCCTGGATTGGCTTAGTATGGTTCAAAACTGCTCAACACTCTTTTGCTCTGAGTGCTTCAGGCAGCATGCTTCAAATCTGATTCATTGGAAGGTTGTAACGTGTCAACCATCTGTTAACACATTTGATTTGGAGGTAAAAAGCAACTACTGTACCAACCTGAGTGATAAGACTTCCCTGGCCACATTTCTTATTCTTTCCTTGTAATGAAAAGGTATATATTTTGCAAGTGTCGGTCCTTTCCTTTTTATTGTACCGATATAAAAGAGTATTTTTCGTGTTATAGGTTTGGGATACGGAACGTGGAGAGCAGATCTGCAAGGTGTCTAATTCTCCAGATGATTCCCTCACTTGTGCTGCTTGGCATAAGGTGCTGCATCCGTTGGTTTTCTTAAAAGTCAAGAATTTAGCTTAATACTGTACAAGTAACTCGGTTGAACATCATAATAATTTAGATTTTAAGTGTGTTAATAAGGGAAACAGTTTTATATGAAGACATAAATGCAGTAATATTTTTTATGTGACTGTGTAAGATAGTGACTGACATTTGGCTTCACTTATTCTTCTCACAGGATTCACGGAAGTTTGTGTGTGGTGGCATGCGAGGACAGTTTTATCAGTGTGATCTAGAAGGCCACATTCTTGATTCCTGGGAAGGGGTCAGAGTACAGTGTCTGGCTATACAAAATGATGGAAAAACAGTTCTTGCTTCAGATACACATCATCGCATCAGAGGATACCATTTTGATGAGGTGCAGGACCATAATATGTAAGTACAGTACAGGAAGTAGTAACTTTAGATAAAGATATACCCCCTGTACACCTGTTTTATAATCTTACCAGTTTCAGCTTAGACTCTGGTTCCCTGCTTAAGGTTATGTATGCATTCCTGAAAAGTGTGACCATAAATGAAATAACATTAAACAAAAAAAATTTCCCAATGGAAATAATGTGTTGGGGTGGGGGAGAGTTAAGTTCTTTGGGGAAAAAGTTCACCAAATATAACAATGTGAAAACCTGATGAAAGTCGAACAAATAATTTAATACTCACGGATGAGGGTGGTGAAGGTTGGTTGAGGAGGCGGAGTGAGTAGAGTAAGTGTGCTGGAGGTAGAGTGTGGACCTGGGTAGCTCAGTGTCCAGATCGCCACATGCTTTATTAAAGTTGCATCTCATACTTAAGTAATTAATCAAGAATGGAATGTACCTATAATTTATATGGTAGGTACTACTGACAATTGTCTTTTAGTGCCTCCTTAAGTTATAACTATTTTTGTCCATTGAAATTTCATATAAATTCTCAATTCTTTACAGCATTCAAGAGGACCACAGCATAATGTCCTTCACCCTTGATAATACTGGCAACTATGCTCTACTTAATGTGGCGAATCAGGGTGTTCATTTGTGGGACCTACGCAATAGAACGTTAGTTCGAAAGTTTAGAGGCCTGACTCAGGGTCACTTCACGATACATTCGTGTTTTGGTGGAGATAATCAGGACTTCGTGGCATCTGGAAGTGAAGGTTAGTCTCTGAATGATCTATTTCACAAGTTTGGATTCAAATATAGAAGGAATATTTTATCAATCAGTACATTACAGTGGGCTGTTGTGAGGGTACAACATATTTACTGTACTGGAAGCTTGGTTTACTACACATCATTATGCATTTTCTAAATTTACTCAAATTGAAATCTAAGAATTGTCTTGATTGTACAGTATGTAATCTGAGATAGTGTTTTATCCATCACAACTTTTGTTTTAGACAATAAGGTTTACATCTGGCATCACCGGAGAGAATTGCCGGTGGTTACCCTCGTCGGACACACTCGGACGGTCAACTGCGTGACGTGGAACCCTCGCTACCCTGCCATGGTGGCGTCTGTGTCGGACGACGCTACCGTTCGGATATGGGGACCTGCACCACAGTACCGGGGAACAGCGTCAACTCAAAATGGCACAAACGCCGGCTCCAATGGTAAAGTGGAAACAAGTTGTAAAGAGGTTTATCCTTTTAAAAGTTATCTGACAAAATCATAATACAACTGTAAGATGAATTCTCTATAAGATCAGCCTGTGTTTACTCTTAGAGCTAAAGAGAGTTCCTTTGGGTGTTGTGACTATGAGGTGCTCAGGCTACCATAAAAATAAAGTGTTTCTACTCCAGGGATGGGTAAATAACATCCAGTTTGGTCTCTTTGGTGGGAGGGATACCACATACCTTATGCATGGATTGTGTAATTTTAATGCAGTGAACAAGTCTTTGGATTCCAAGGACCCCTGACACCTGTAACTGAGACTAAATTCCAGAACGTAATCCCCCCAAAACAGTGCGTCCTTCCCAACACAGCCTCGTGTACTGAAAGGTGAGAGTCGTTACCACTCCGCTAACTCAAACGTACAGTACTTCACGATCCACAAGAGCCCTCGTAAACTTGTACAAAACATATGAATAAACCAGCCACAACATCTTTATCAGAAAAAAAAAATCCATCTATTGTGGAATCTTGGGAAGTCTCATGTCATGGCCTACAGAGGTTCTTGGTGGATGCTGCTGAGAGTCCATCTCCACCACTGAGTCACTTACCTGCTATGTCCCCAGGCCACTAGGATGGGATCTCTGTACTTCCTCATCCAATTAATAATCCCCTGAAGGATATTCCCCCTCCTTGGAAGTACAGTACAGGCAGACCTCTTACGACAAACAAGATATGTTCCTTGGGAGTACACTTTAGGTAGAGGTCTGTTCCTAGTGCTACACGATGGCTTCCTTTGGTATTAGTAATGGTTCTACAGATGTTATTATGGCTTTTTATAGATAAAGATGGTTTTGTAACATAAATATAATCAACACTGTAAATTTTGTTGGAGTATTGTTTTAGTGGTAGAGGGAGCTAAGCCAAGTGACTGACCCACATCTTCAACTCTCCATATTAATGACTTTTCTGGTCAGTTTGGCTGCTTTATCAACACTCTCTCTTGTAGGCTGTTTTCCACACACGAAGGAACTAAACTTTTCACTTAACACACACACAAGAGATTATGAAAAAGAACAAAATTCAAAGCCTTAACCGACATGAGTTTTGGCAGGCTGTACACATTGATTAGACGAGTGCTGATTGGCTGAGAGGATGTAAACAAAGATGACTGCAAATAGGTTCGTTGGTTTTTTTATGCTTGATGGGAATTTTTTTTTGGGGGGGGGGGGTGCATTACTATTACAATCATTAAATTAGTACTGTATTTGTTCATGTCTGTTAAGTGAAAATACTTTAGATGAGGCTCCATCATAAGAGGTCTGCCTGTACAGTATATTGACAACTCCACAACATGTCTCTTGTTGCAGTAGTACCCTGAGCAGCCTTCAGAGTTGAATCATTGCTGACCATGTCACCATCAACCATACCAAGACCATGGCTGTGTTGGTTTAACCTTGCCTTTTCTTAGTATATTTTGCTTCCTTCTTTCTCACTGGGCCCCAACACCCTCCAGGTTGTGAAGTCTACCACACTTGTTGGCATCATAATAGAAGTTAAGAAGGATACATCAGTATGGTCGTACAATCTTCCACTTATTGTCACCACAACCTTTGCTGTTTTAAACCCTTTGGACTCTGTGTATAAGAATGTAAGAACATTTACATAGCCTTCATACTTCCCAAATGCCTTCCCTGTCAAGTCTTCCTTAATTTCTACATGAGGATTCCTAGAGATGGTGCAGAAAAGAGCACGGATGACTATTCTCTATCCTCCTCACACCACCTGAGTACACTGGGTCTCTAACCATCATCATCAACTTCATCTGTCACTTTAGGATAAAGGTGCTACATCACTCTTGCCTTCACAACTCTTGAATTATTACACATTTATCAAAGAAAATCAAGGTAAATAACAGTTGTATAAGAACAAATGAATTAATATCACCAGACAGTAGTGAAACAGGCAATTGCAGCAGCTGGCAGATCTGCAGCCATGAACAATATTTTTTTATTTCCTCTTGAATAACTAAACAAGTTCAACATTCATATTTATGCAGGGAGACACAATACAGTATGTAGTGAATAAATAGAATATAAACTCTCACCACAGATGGCAGAGAAATTTATTGTGACTTTTTCTTTACTTTATCTCTTAGAAAAAGACTGAATAAGTAAAGGTACTACAGGTATTCCCCCGCCCCAGTTGTTTTATTCTTGAGGTCAGAAATAAGTTATTTTCCAAGAATATTACCACAGTATCTTGGTTTTAGTTGGTGTTCTCGTACCTGCGGGGTTAACCTTCACCGTGGAAGACTCACTGTGAGTCTCGGAGATTTATTTTTTGTGTGTGCTGTATACGTACATAATATTTCATTCTGGCGTCATCTGGGAACTGTACAGTACACTCCCTTCAGCATATTTTCCCTTACTTTATTTAATATTTTATGTCTATTATAGGTCTATTATTTCCAAAATTCAGAAAATTCTTGAATCTGATTCTTTCTGGTCCCGACCTTGATGATTAATTGATATAGTGCTTCTGTGGGTGTGTGTGTGTGTGTGTAATGTTTGTGGGAATAATGGTAAGATTGTTATTGTCATGGTGATTCTGCTTTTTTTACTCTATAAGAATACATCATCCTGTAATAAAGATAATCTCTTATAATCTTTGCCCAGATCTTATATTCAAGAGGCTTTGACATTGATTGTGGAATTGAGCAATTTGGCATTTTGTGTACAGTATACTGTATTGCACAGAAATACATGATGCATGGATACCAAGTTGTTCACTATTACTGTAGCGTAAATGATTAACAAAGAATGTCTTCAAAGATTTTCATTGTACTGTAAATTATTATACAGTACTGTACTTCTCTCTTTTGTAACAGTATGAATCAAGGCTCGGTGTTAATCAAAGTTTAGTACAGTAATGAAAACATCTTGGTGCTGCATTACTTATTTAATATGTAAAATGCTTGAGACAAATGGATGTATTGCTCTAATTAGTGTTATAATTTCTTGCAGATGTCCAGAGCAGGGGATGAATAGGTGCTGATGGAACAATGTTGAATCCAGGAGGACAGACAGTATGCCATTAAAAGGTTATAATATTTGATGATAGAAGTTAAAAAAAAAAGATCAGAAATCTCTCATGGATTTATTCTTTATCCTCAGGGAGGGAGTCTGAATCTCCAACATCCCATATGTTCCTGAGCAATGGTGCAGCTGTTTAGTGCAGAGACAATCCTGTGTGCCACAAACTTTTAATCTCGTCGCTTGTGGCGTGTTCTTAGTTGCTGGTGCTGCTAAGTTCAAGTGACGCCATGTGGATATTAGTGCCACAAAGCTAGTGCAAGGAATTGGTGTCTCATCACCATTACCAAAAACATCTTTTGATTCACACAGTGTGAAATGGACATCTTTGTCATATGCACAGTGACAGACAACTAGATGAATCCAAATCTATCTGTGAATCATTCCTTTGTGAGTGGGACCTTTTGCCAGATGGGTGTAATCATCTGTGCAAGTTACATCACCTGAGATTGCTCCTCCTGAACCAAATAGTCCCTCAGTGGAGTTTCTACTTTGCTCCTAAATCTGTCCTTAAGGCAGAGGTCTTCTCAAGAAGAACACTCCTTTCAAGAGGATTTCTCCATTGCTACAACACTCTCTCATTCTTTTTTCCAGTTTCTGTCTTCCACAGGATGGGCAATCAGCAAAAGGAGAGGACTTGTACTCCTAAGGAGGTCTTTGCTCTAAATGAACTCCACTGTGTCAGTGCAAGAAAATATTTCATTTGGCAGAGTTTACCTCCATAAACAGGGAATTAATTTTTGCCTTATGAATTTTTCCATCTCTGAAGTATGGTATTGTTCATAAGAATTCCTGCCTGTATATGTGGATCACTGTAAGAGTATGAATCACAGTAGGCTCCTTAGGTTGCCAGAACTGCTCATCCACTGTTGTTATGTGTGGCTGTTTAAATCCAATCATTTATTCATCTGTTTCAACTTCATCATTCATTGTTTGTCAGCTCCACATGCCACCACTGTACATATAACATCTTTCCTTCTTGGAAAGCATTGTTCGTCCACAGGGTTGATGAGTGTGCCGTGAAACCCATGAAGTGAAGTCACACATTAAGTTGACGGGATTACCATTTTTCCCTGTTATGCATAGTGATTTGTGTCCAGACCTCTGTTCATTAATCCAAAATATGAATTGTATATTATTTTTTGTCATGTTGACAACTTCAGTAATAATGCGCCTTAGAGATATAATACTTAAGCTTATACTCACGAGACACAGGACGAGACAAAACACGGCTACCAAGTGACGGACCCAAACCAGTGTCATTTTCTACTCGTAGGATTTGAAGATATTTCATCAACAAGAAGTGTGTATACTTATTAGTGAATTAGAGTTGTGAGTATTCAAAGGATATTTTGTGTACATTGGTAATATTTACATTTTAAGGATCAATTTGAGCTTGTTATGAAAGTCAGGTTCATGTAACAAATTATACCAGTTTGCCATTATGATACTTTTATAGGAGCTCTGAAGTTGAAGATCTTTTGTGTTTACAGTTGAGAAAAAGATAAAATAATCGTTGCTACAGATGGTTGACTTGCAGTAGGTCTTCAGTGTTAATGCTCACTAATATTAAATAATTACAGGCTGGTTTGATTTTCTTACTAAATCAATATTAAGAATTAAGTGCATATTGGTTCCCAGGTTTGTGTGTTTTGGTGTTATTTTAAAGTACTGTACTGTCAAGTGTTCCCAGTGTAGGAGCAGAGTTTATTGACATGGAGCCAGTCAGGGATGTGATAATTCACCATGGATCTGCTCTGTATATCTTTTATGTGTGACAGAGGCTGATAGCGACATAGAAAATAAATTGTGGTATAAATCAGTGGAATTTTTAATGCTTGTTGATGATCCAGTTGTGACGCACGAGTGATCCGAAGAATTACGACTGCTTATGGCAATATTGATCGACTCGCATATAAAGTTATCAGATTGGAATAAATGTCACCCTCTTTGTTTTAGAAATTGTGTTATGATTTGATGGTGGTGGTGATGATGATAATGATGATGGTGATTATTTTAAAGGTACAGTAATGCCTTATTAGTATTATATGTCGTCATCCCTCCTTAATTTGAGAAAGTTAAGCGGCAGTGAGCGTCAAAATAATGAATTATTCAGTTATTCATTGTGAGAAAGTAGCTGCTGTGGGAAATGCTTCAGCGGTTTATCACATGTGCATTTACTTAACTTATTTATAACTTGCAATATAACCTAACTTGAGTGAGGTTAGGTTACAAATTATTTTTAATTTGGGCAGATTCACATCATACAAACCTTACTATGAAAGTGTATTCCAGACAAAGTACATTTGTTGTTGCCATAATAATCATTTTATAAACAAATTTAATTTTACTGTTCACTTAATATTTTGTCTCACTTATACATTTCAACAGCTCAAAATGTGTGGAGGTGTCTGATGTTAGGAGTTAAAGAATGATGCACTAGATTTAATTTTGCTGTACAGTATATGGAGGTACATTACTTAAGGTAACAGGGAAAGGCATATTTAATTGATATATATGAGTTCGGGGCAGTGACTCATCCAGATTTGTGTTCATATTACAGGATTTCCATAGACAGTGTGGGCAAGCAAGGAGTTGTTTTTCTGTCATAATTGCATGAATATTGTTTTCATAAATGCTACCCTTTTATTTATTTATTTTTTTATTATAGGTCCATGGTATTATGTTAAAATACTGTAAACCTGAATATTTTTTTTAATGAAATATACTGATTATTATTTATAGGAAAAACTCTTTAAGATGATAGCATTATAAAAATGTTTGTGACCAGATATAAGAAGATGAAGAACTATAACTGATTACTGTACTGGTAGGTAAAAGAAGCCACGGTTTCTATTTTGTATTGTTGAGTAAAATAATGGGACAAGATTGAAGTGGTAATGAGGGAATGGCTGTAAGATCTGGGAGCTGCGTATACTGTTGTTTGTTGATGCTTTGTTAGTGGTGGATTATAACCAGTGTGAGGAGAAGCTTGTACTGATCACAAGACAGTGTATGAAGGACATGAGTTATTGTCTTGTCAATAAACAAGTGTCAAATAGGATCTCTTATAACTTACCAATCATGTACAGTAGATGTTGTTAGATAGTTTCTGGATTATTGTTCTTAGGTCTTGGTGCCTAAACTGGTTGCCTTCAGTTTTGACAGGAGTAAAAGATAAGATGTAAGATAAAATGCAATGTGATTTAGAATTAGGAAGTGTGTAAAATAATTAAAGGAAACAGATTGTGTAGATATGATTGTCATGCTCCATTCAAGGGTAAAATTGCCATTTTATGATGTGGGAAAAATATCATTGTGCAATTTAGTTCAGCAGAACATTGAATTTTAAAATGAAAAAATAAATTTTGTATTAAGGTGAGGATTAAGGTCATTAGAGAAGTGTGAAGTAAAGAGGCACAGCAGAGAAGATGACAAGTAAATAATTATGGAATAGAGTTAGAAGAGGTGATAACTATGTAGTGTGAACTCTGCATGTGTACAGTCTCCCCAAAAAGTATCGTTAGCCAAGAGGTCGATGTGATTAGAGGCTTTCCGAGCTATGTTACTTGACCTGTTTCTCAACGGTTGAACATGAACGAGTATACTGTATACGTTTTTGAACGATGCATACATTAATATAGCTTAATGGATTTCTTGTTATACTGAAGTATCTAGTATGTCATACAAGGACGACTCCCTCCATCTCTAGTTGGTGCTGATAAGGCCAGCAGGCATACCAATTTATGATGATGCACTGGGGATCATATCAAAGCATTTCGTCTATCGTTTCAAATTGTAGCGACGGAAAATGTAACGATACTCTTCTGGGGACTGTACTTCTGCTGTATGCTGAAAATTTCTGTTGATGGTGGGTTATTTTGCCTGAAGTCAGTGTTCAGCTGTTATAATTCTTAGTACAAAAGGTGTTTTACTGATTTGAGTTCTTTATGACAAATGTAGTTGAAATGAGTATGAAGAGGACATGAGAAGTGAAGTTGGACTGAGAGAAGACTAATAGACCTGATAACAAAGGTAATTATTAATATTTTTTATGTAATTTTGAAGACAGATTTTTATTAGTGTCTAGGTGGCAGAAATGTGGGTACTGTATTATGTATGAGAAACTTAAATTGGAGTTCTTCAGGTGAACTTTATATGTAAAAAAGTTTGCAAGTAAACAAGATTTTAAATTCAAACCAAACTTAAGATTAATAATTATGCAAATCACTGTTGTGTCTATTGCCTGATATGTGGCTGACAGCCTTATTTCATTTTCTCTCTGAACAAAGAAACATGTTTTTGTTGGGAATTTTGGATGGTCTGTGTAGAGCCATTCCACACACCTTTAGCCAGTGATTGTTTGTCTAGAACCCTCCACCAAGATGCACAGATTTTCACTTGTTGTCCATCTCTTGTTCATTCTTTTAATTTTATGTCTATTTCTCCTCAGTCTGTCTTAAGTAGTCTATCTTGCTCTCCTCAATTATTTAAAGCATGTTTTCATGACAACACAATATTTCATCTGCTTCTGTATTGGCTACTCCCACTCTCTCGTCTTCATTGTTTACCATTTGACTGTTGACTTGTGATTTAGAAGCACATAATATGAAAGGTTGCACTACACATTTTGACAAAGTTTTCCTCTCATGATAATCTTTCATTTTCTCTTGCATTAACTTCTTTTAACATCTGATATTAAACGTGTCATGTTAAATGTGATTGTTTCCTCAATCTGATCTACACTCAACAACCCTTTCTCAAACACTGTCATCTCATTTTTATTTTATATAAATTTCTTTATATGTTCATCTTTCTACTGTACTCATTTTAGTAGAATTTTAAACTATCATCTGTATATGTTAAGCATCTTAATTTATTCTGTTCTCTCAGTACATAAAGATTCTGTACTTACATATGAGTTTTAGGATCATTTGTGACTTTACCCTGTTAGTATGTGTACAGATATGGGACCATTTATCCCATGCTTGAGACCTGGGGGCTGCTCAATAGGTTTTTTCCGGAGTTTAAAGCACCAGGCTTAAAATGTGCAGTAAACCCTCTGTAACTGGCTGTTCAGATTACAAGATTCACCCCTAAAAGTAATTGTAACTTTACACTGTAACATTAAAACTTAAAATTGTAGGCATATAAACAGTAATAACAAAAGGATATAAATACTGTAATAATGAAAACATAAAAAAGAGCAAAAATAATACAAGTTAGTGTACAAACTGTCATAGTCGTCCCTGATACTCACCTTATCAACGCAACAGTGACCTTAGCAACAGTGCTCCACCGCGGACCCACCGACCTCTCCACGGATGTAAGCCTGATAATAATTATTTATTTTAGTTCTTTTTGCACTTTCTGTATGTTGGATTGCGTCCATCCTTGTGTGTGCATGAGTGCGTGTGTGTGTGCAAATAACTGAGTAAAGAAAATTACATAATGTTTATGTACCCAAAATTAAGAGTTAAAAAATAGCCATAACCTAACATATAGGTCACAGGTGGGGAATAGTTGGAAATATCTTCGCTCGGCCTGGGAATAACTTTTAACGCTGATTTTAAGTTTTTGGGGCGTTAACGATACCTGGAAGGCAGATAAACGGTCTCGTACCTGTATTTCCGTGTATAAACTAACAGGGTTAAATCACAAGGGAAAACAAATTATTGTTTGTCTTGCTGCAGCTTTAAACCAGTCACACCATCCCTCCTCCTCTTAGTGATGTCTTAGATCATTGTATTAACAACTATCACTTCCTATAGCACTATCTCTTCTGTGTCATCAACTACTGGAAAAACATAATTTGTACATGGCACACCCACATCACACCACATTACACCACACATCACCACATCATGTCACATTACACCACACACACACACATACTGTACTGTATATAAAACAGTAAGCTTAATAGTGTTGAAAAATAGGAGAAAAAATCAGATACAAATATGAAAACTTAATTTACCACAAGATTTCTGTTTGTATGAAAACTATTATACATACTTGAGTAACTTGTGAAAGGTGGGATAGTAATAAACTCATTATTGTATTTTATCTTACATTTTTTTAAAGAATAAAGAAGTATAATTTCTTCTTTAATAGAGTGCAAATGTTTTATGGTTGACAGATAACAAGTTGATGATGTTGGATCCATTTCTATACACTACAGTACATGTATCCAGTTTTTATTTTATATTTACAACAGTTTTTTGTACGTCATTCTGAACAAAAATGTCAACTTGATAAGGTGGTAAACTGTCATGGCTGAGACTAGTAGTACAGCAGCTACTGGTCTCTTCCTCCTCTTGAACATAATATTCTGACAATGTTAGTGCAGTACTGTACAGTTTAACAAGAAGTAGATTCCATAGTCAAATTTTGGTCTCTTAGATAGGTTACATCTGCAGGTCACTTTATGATCTGGTTACTAATTGGTCAGACATAACCCAGGACTGTAACGTCTGGGTCATTTAGCACTGTAGTCATCGATGGTACTCACTCCTCCCTTGATCATCAGTCATTGGAGCCTCGTTTGGCTAGGTACTTATGAACGAGGGTTGGCTTTTCTATGTAGAAGTTTGTCGTCAATAACTGTCATTGTCATATTAAGAGATATACTTATAAGAGTTTTATTGACAATCTCAGTATATATGGGAATAGATGATTTTCACTTTGTTTTATCATTTTATTTCTGAATACTGTATGTAACAACATTGAACCTCTGATGAAATACAGTAATGGAATGTATGGAAAATATAGAGATTATTTGTCAGTATAATTTGTCTTTTCTTTTTTACTTGGAATTTTAATACCGTATTTAATAAATGGAAAGAATTGTATTAAAAATGTATCATTTACATTAGGATGTAGTTTTTTTAGGTAATTTTATGTGTTTGAACGAGTGCAGTATTTCTTTTTATATACTTCTCTGCATGTACAGTTTCTGTATACAGTAGTATTTATTCCTGTGTGTAAAATGACAAAAAAAAATTGTTGAAGAAAGTGTGTGGTGTGTTGTGCATGTTGAGCTATGTACATGAATATGCTTCTATTAGTGATGTAAGTAACATTTAAGGTCGAGTTTTGCCAGATGGCTTAACAAGTTGTGGTGGATTCCATTTCCATCGACGTTTTTATAATAGAGATGATTACAGAGACGTTACAAGTGAGTTTCTTGTTGACAGGTCACGACGGAAGTGATTATTTTACCTCTCGTGTACTACTGGTATGGGTGCATTACTGGTCACAAGGCTGTACTGTACACAAGGTGGCCTGATTTATTGAATAACTTATATGATGGAATCTCCTTTTCTTCCTCAACTTTAATTGCAGAACTAAATTATAACCTTTCTAGCTCTCTTAATTAATAATTTACTTCAGCCTTATCAAATGGATATAAATTTAACATGAGACAGGAAGATGTTTATTTAATTGACCATTTGCTAGTCCTTCTCTCTTTGCTTTAAAAGGGTTGCCATTATAATGATTTTTTTTTACTTTTTATATTAATCCAACTTCATTTTCCCATTCATGAAAAAGTGAATAGACTGAAGGAAAATTAATTGAACAGAATTTAATAGATTTTTGAGTAACATCTACACATTTGCTTTACATTGAAAGGTACAGTAATGTTCTTTTTCATTATTTGGATTTTGATTGACTAAAGAGTTTTGTATTTTCTCCACAGTATTTGCGATGCTTTAGGGAGGCCACATATGTTTGATTACTTCCAGCTTCCCTACAACCTGCATGATGAGCTTGTGGTCACAACAAGTCAAGTGCCTCTTTTCACTCCATTTTCACGAGACCTCGGGACTTACACCACAACTTTACTTTAATCAATGAATTCTCATCATTTTCTTGTGTTACTCCCTCTTTTCATTTTCTTGTGTGTCATATTGTTTGCCAACCCTGGTAATAGGTCAAAGAAACAAGAATGAGCTAGATACTGTACAGTGTTTGGATATGGTGAGACAGTTGCCTCTTTACCAAAGTGAATGTGATTACTTATATTGTATTTTCCCTTATTGCACTGTTAGCCAATTTGAT